TTGATTGTGAGTTTTTCCACATAAACTTTTGTGACGATGTCATCAGTCAACGGCATTATATTCCCAAAATAATCAATAAAATTAATTCCTTCATTCTATATACTTTTTTAAAGACCAATAAGCAATTTAAGAAAAATATGAATGCAAATCACAAGTGAACATTCATAATATTTTTCACATTTTAGATAGGATTTACCCAGTAAAATTTTAAGATGGTGTTATCAAGTTTTTGGAGGAGATAAAGAAATAAATTTTGACTAAGGATTTACTACGCTTACGACAACCTTAAAATGGGTGCAAGATTTCAGAGAAGTCAGTTTTGCAGTTTCTACGTTAAAGAGTAAAATGTTGCATACACTTTTGTTATTTTTTTCCAAAAATCTGAACATCAAAAGTAAAAATAAGGGTGGGTTAATATACCACAAGTATAGAAATATGTTATTTTATGAAATTGAAAGAGGATTGACTCCACAAAATTGTTTTATTTCGTCTTTAAATTGTTGGTGGGGATGATGAGGCAAATTTTCGTTTGCATTTTACCTTCTACACGATATTTCTAACATATCTAAAATTTGACAACAGTCAGTCCAGTTGTTTGGAAGATTATTTGTGCAATAAAATCGCCAATAGACGACAGACAGAACGGGGGACCTACTTTTCATATTCTAAGAATTATGTAACGTCGAGAAAACTTAAAATTAGCCATTCGTCAAATATACATTATTAAAATACTTCCCTAGCTTACAACCTAGAAATACAAATTAATAGGTTTGCTCTATAATGATTCAAACAGAACTTCCTTCATCCCTGTAGCGTAGTGAAAAAGAGGAGATTTTTTCATAATCCTCAAATGTTATAAAAGACAAATACATCATTTTCGATATGTACAGTATAACACTAATACATTTCAGAGCAGTTGATTTTGTGGTTTCTAAGTTAAACTGTAAATCTTATTGTAGAGCTATATTTTTTTTCCAAAACTTGTACTTGTAAGATAAAAATTAATTATTCCACATATTTTAAAATACATCTAAAATTTCATAATAAACGTTTCTATAGTTCCGGAGATTATTTCTCTAGTAAAATCGCCAACAGCCGACAGATAATAGGTAGATGAAAACGGAGGACCTACTTTTTCAAATGTTAAATTAGCCAGTCATCAAACGGACTTTCCTACAGTAACAACTGCTTTGATACACCACCAGATAAATAAAAATTTTCACAGATAGAGCATACCATTTTTGTAATATCCTCAAACTGTGATAACACATTTTATTTGGCGGTGTTTCTGCTCTTCATTGCGCAAAATTTGACTTTTGATTGTAAATTCATATCATTATTCAGCCAAAAAAGTCGATGTTTATTTCAAGTAGTAGGTGTGGCAGAGTGTAGTTCGTTGAGCTATCGCGATTTTTTTGGCCCCAAACAACAGATCATTGGTCTGTGGAACGCAGTACATCCACAGTCTGCCGGACTGAGTGGGTTGTTAGGAAAAAAAACCTCAGACAACAGAAATCGAAGATACGTTATTAATGCATTTTGATAATAAGATACCCGCTAGAAAACCCGATGGCACGATGTCACCATGTTTTTAAAACACAAAATAAGCACCAACGAGATCTAACGCAGCGAATAATCGAATGGAAAATGTTAATACTTAGACATTTTTGTACATTTCGGATTCCTGTAAACTTTGCTTGATAATCAACACAGCAATTCTGAGTGCGAGCATGATGATTGTGGCCACGTAATTGCTTAAAGTATATTTGATATATAAACACGCAACCGAGCCTGACGTTTCTTCACGTTTTTGTAATGCATGTAATGATGGCTCTCGGGCAGACTGTGAGCACAGTACTGAAAATGTGAAATAATCTTTGTCAAAGAAGGAATTTTCACTTATTTACTAAACGGGAATTACAACAAGAAATTTAATTTCAAAGTAGAAAGAGTATAAAAATAAAGAAGAAGAAAATATTTCAAACAAATATTGATAATTATTACAAACACAACGCACATAAGTTATTTTCGAACGTTTTATTGCAAAAGCAAACTTTAAATTCAATTAGTATGTTTACGGAAATTTGGTTATGTACTTGATCTCTATTTACAGTAAAACCTGTCTATGCCGGAATCGCGCGGGTCCAAAATTTTTATCCGTCTTAAACAGGGTTCCGGCTTTTACAGGAAACCCGGCTATGACGGAAAGTAAACCTCTATAAAACGGAAATCAATTTTTATTAAATTGAATACATAGGTACATAAAAAGAATTATTTGAAATAGTTGTTTATTGTTATTTGCTTTTTCGGCCATTGAGATATATTTTCCATGCATGTTCTCAACTGAAAAAGATTGGCTAGACGCTCACCGCTTTGCCATTATTCTCGAATTTATTTTAGGAATATGTTTTATAATTTGATACACTTGCGTTTTTTGCAACCGAACTTTTGCAAATTTCTTTAACACTCAAATTTTGCTGCTCGTGTTCATTAATTAAATCCATTTTGCTGTTATTGTTGGTCGCTTTTTGTGCCATTGCGAACATACATACAACCACGAGAGACACCAATTAAATGAGAATTGAGAACAGTGATTTTCTGTTGACAAAAAATGCACGTGCAGATCCACGAATTGAATTACATATTTTTCGTAGAAATCATCAATTTTGTTCTCGCTTCCGTTTTACACAGAGTTGGGTGCATGTATTTTGACACGTTGGGACTTACAAATATTTTCCGTTTCCGCGTTATGCAGTTTCCGGCTTATACGGACCAAAATACATTAAATTAGGTATTTCAAAAAACGGGACTGAGGAAAATTTCCGCGATGAGCAGTTTTCCGCCTTCTACAGAGTCCGGCATAGACAGGTTTCACTGTATCTATATGTTATATTTGTACAACAGAAAATGCAGTTATTCATAACCACACCTTAAAAATCTTTGCTTGGCCCCCCTAACTGTCCTAAACGAAGAATTGTCTGACGCTGCCACTGGTTTATAGTCATTAGGTGCGCCTATACTGGATAATTTGCACACTAGAAGATTTAACTAGTTAATATTTGCTCGGTTTACGGTTCTTGACAATGACAGCTGGTCGCATCTTATGCAATTGCAAGCAATTTTAAGTCGTTGTGATCAACGTTATTACTTATAGTTGTAACTTTAACATTCCTTCGTATAGATGTCAAAACAGTAAATTTAAAATTAAAAAATTCAGGAGTTGTGCCAGGATCTAGTAATGGATTCATTCTTTTTACCATTTGCATGTATGATATTGTTTTTCTTTTTTGACATTTACAAGCACTCGAGGAATATTTTCGGAATAATAATTGGATGAAAAATAGTATGCAATTTTAGTTAAAATCGCTGTGCTTGCGATTCTGTTTCGACGAGAACGAACATTTAATGGGTAGTTCGCACCTACTACTTAAGAAACAGTTAGCCTATTTACTTGGTTGTTGACCACACGGTTAACATTTTTAGTTTTATCAAGAATATAATTCATGTAGCACTTGACCTTTATGTCTATAACACCCTGCAGGTTTTTAATAAATTTAATATAATCGAAATACATTAAAAAACTAATATATCATCAAAGAGATAAATCAAATTTAGAAACAGCCCTGCGGATACTTAACACGGCACGAGGTTTTCGAAATACGGTATACACTATGTGTTTGAGATGTTGTTTCCTAGACAACAACTCTATCATTCTTCCACTTCTAGTTTGTCCGGAAATGATGAGAACTTTTACCTTTTGCAGAGGAAAGTCTTGTTAATTAATATTGTTAATAATAGAAGGTGATTTTAATCGGCACTATATATTTTGTGATATGACCCACGAGACACAAACAATATCAGACAGAATTGTTTGAACACTCTGTATAAACTTTTAAGGTGACGCCATCAAAATTTTGGTGGAAAAATTTAAAACACTTAAGGCAAAAATAAAGGCGTATTAGTAAACCACAAGTATAGAAGCATATTACTGAAAAACATGTGATGACGTGATCAAATTATGAGAAATAAATTTTGCTTAGCATTTACGATCTATATGGTATTTTTAAAATACACCAAAAATTTCACTTCTAGTGATCTCGAAGATTACGTATCAAATAAAATCACCAACAGACAGACAGACGGAAACGGTAGACCGACATTTTCATGCGGTATAAACTGTAAAACGTAGACCCTCTAACCTCATTCGAGAAGAAGGTCATGTTTTGGAAAACATTCGTACTGTATTTTTCTTTCGTATGTTTTCCAGAATTTACATAGTTCCTTTTAAATGATTGCTTCTATAAATTAATAATTCAACGTCCTTTACCTATTATATTAACGAGCCAACCTGCCGGGATAAGTAAAGTGGATTCCGTAGGTGGAATGCAAGGATTTTAATCGCTTAGTAATTGCTAAAGCTTGTAAAAATGAATGTTAATAAATCGTTAAAAGATGATAGGAATGTGGTACTTAGTTATGTCAAATTTGAATAACTGGGCCAGAACCCGGCAACAAACTCTTAATCTTGCCCATCTCTTTCGGCCTTCGAACCCATCGCTTCGACTTTGATATTATTAGCATCACTAATAAAAAAGCAAAATCATCATTTGAAGGCTTTGACCTGCATTCAATTAAACTAATTTACAGCCTTAATCTTAAATGACAGGTGACAGTGCTTCCATCCAGACGCAGAAATTCACGATCAACGACCTCAATTCAACCAACTTTAAAAAACAACAAAGCGTTTTTTCAACCTCAACCGAGTTAGCAATTTTACGAGACAAAACATTCGAACTAATAAAAATGTTAGACTACCGTTAGGTACTAACGAGTTTCTAAAATAAACTCTTCACTCTTCGATTTTTATCTAGAATATCGCATAATTATGATAATTAACTACTTCAATGGCGAAGCAGTAGCGGAAACACGTTTGTATAATTTATAACTAATAATAATCACCAACGAACAACCTCGGATGAGTGTTTTTGGCTTTTTTGTAGTACCCATCGACAGAGGCGGACTCAGCAGACGAACCAGAAACCAGGAGGGTCAGGCTGCCGCAGCACGAACTGGAGGTACCGGCTCGGGATCTGCTGCTGAGGCTGTTGCAATTTGAACCCACTAAAAGACTGAGGTCATTAAGGACCCTGCAAACTATAGCGTTCTATAAAGATTTTAATTTCGAAAACGTGAAAACAAAAAAGGTACTGGATCAAGATAATGCAGAAAAAGAAAATCGTGCAGGAACAAATAAACCTTACAATCATACACAGACCGGTTGATTTGTTTTTGAACGATTAGTCCTGTAAGATTTTACAGATTTGTAAAAAATTTCATTATGTTTTAGATGAAGCCATTAGATCTGCTGCCGGAACGTCCTCAGGAGGAGATAATGGAATTTGAAGACTTTGATGGGAATTACGACACTGTGCTGTGAAGTACTTAATTTATAGATCTGTTAATAGTCAGTCAGGTTTTTCTGACTTAATGATTTCGAGTATTACTTAAGCATATCTATACTTGAATTAAAATGACGCTTTGTGTTCATTCAGTAAATGTAATATGTAGTTTTTTCTGTAGATCAAATCTCTACATCTTGGATGTATACCTCTCTACATAAAACGTGATAATCGTATATCTTATTGTTTCAAACGAACAAGATGTTCTCATGTACTGCTGTTTATGAATGAAAGTAACAGATTTACTTTAAATAATGAATTGGATTGGTAAACAGAGTACGAGGAATTTGTTAATGTTAATTAAATACTCGTAAGGAAGTATTAAAACAAGTATTATAATTTTATTTTTGTGATCCAAATTCAATAAAGTGTTTATTATTGTAAGTTACAATATTCAATTTCCCTACGCTTTTAGCCAGTTTCCCATTTTTACGAAGTATTTTGCAAAATCTTATTTAAGTTAAGTATGCCTACAAGTAAATGCGATTGAACATCCTGAAAACATTTTATTTTTCATTGCTTTAACTGTATGCTGAAATTTTGACTCAAAGTAATTTTAAAACAGTTTCGTAGCTGCCAATCATATTTTTTTAAATATTTACTTCATGAAGAAGGTATCAGTGTCAAGTGGAGTGTTAAGGTTTCGTATTACGTTTGCTGTTATTTTTAGGTTATCTCTCTGATCTAATTACTTACTCTTTACCACTTTGTTAACTTTCTCGGTATTTTAAACGTGTAGCTCTAATCTTGTCAGGCTGTTATGACATACAGTTAAATCTGACAATTTGCTTTAAGAAGGTTGAGCTAAAGTTACTTACATTTATTAATTTTCACATTCATTGCTTTTCAATTCCTTATCAAATGTTGACAATTGACATTTCGGTAAGGTGATATTTCACGTACAGGATACTGTGATTAGTCCAGTGCTGCAATCCCTCAGTGGAAGTAAGGTGTGTTTTACGGCGAGTAGCGGGGACGCTTTGATCTGGTCCACAAGGACGTAGTCAGTGCGTCTCTAGGAGTGTTTACGGCTACTAAAAAAACTACTTTGACGGGTCGCTATATGAATGTGGCGATCGAACTACATCAATTTCATTCTAGAACACAGCAAAATTACCCATAGGGGGCATTGTAGCACAAGCGAAGTTTGGGGCTCCTGGTTGTGGCTGTTCTCCTACCACGACGGTGATTCTATCGGCAAGCAGATGCCGCCCAGCACCCCTCTATCACGAAGAAACGTGCCGCGCGGAAACAGGCCGTTACGGTCGCAAACTCGCGGTTGGAAATTCCGACGACTGGGCCAAGCCGTGAGCGTCACGTCATACCGACCGCTCCTCTGACTTCTATTCAAGATCTGCGTGTTTTGTGTAGATAGCGCGATAAATTCCGCCAGCTCGACTAGGAACCGCACCCTCCGCTTCTGCAACATGTTCCCTTGTTATTTACCAAGACCAATAAACAACATTTAAATTTGCCATACACTCTCGCGAAATTTTAAACAGCAAAGAATTCTTATCTGAGATTAAGATTGGACATCAGATAATTCATATGATGGAAGCATTAAACAATAAACTATTTACGTGGTCAAAATAACTAGCAAAGATCTATAAAAACAAAAAAAGATCTGGTGTGAAGTAAAACTTGTGCACACAAAAAAATTACGTGAAGTTGGGAACTGCACAGCGTGAAAATTGACGTTCAATTTAAATTATACTACAAAGAAAATTACTGAGGCTAAAGTTGTGAGGTAGAGAAAAATTGCAAAGCTAACAAATTTACATGAGGTTTACCATTTGTCACACAAAGAATTTACATGATGTTAAATTATGCCACACTTTATCAACGATTCAAACAAAGAATTTACATGATATTAAATAATGCTTTGAGAGTTTATCTCGTGGACTATCCCCAGCTTATACCAAACAAACACATGATAAATAAACACAAAATGCATCCCGCATCGCGAAAAATGCTTCTCAATGATGTAAGCAATTTCCTACATCGCGAGAAATACGTCTCCATGATGTGAAGATACTGCCCGCCTAAGGAGAAAATTTTTAATTCCCCTCCCTCAGTCCACGATATTATGAATTCTCCCGCCCTGTCCACGGTCCTTTTCCCAGAGTAGGACAACGTTAGGTTGATTTAATTGCCGTAAATGAACTATTAGCAATCTTGTGTGAGGAATTAAGAAGTGTTATAATGTAACACTTAGTATAAGCAACCAGAAACCTTATTTATAACTTGATAAAGAAAGGATGAGTCCTGACTAAGTGAATTTCATGAGATCTCCTAGCAAGTGCTTTATCTGAACAATCTCATGACTGTTAAATTGTGTTAGAACCAGTGACGATTAAAATCCTAACATGAACTGTGAATTTACAAACAATAAAACAAATTTACACCACGTCTTGGCGTCGGTCGAAAATTCACATATTTCCGATTGGAAAAACAGCAAGAATTAGCTGCGCTTCTTAGGGAAACTGTAGCCTCGTCAATCGGCAGGTAGAATTCTGAAAGCGCCCTTCATAGAAAATATAATTTATATCAATAAAAAAATGTCAAAATTAAATTGCAAAATGTTGTTTTTATAATTTTGATTTTTTTTTTTTCAAAAATCTGGTCGTTACAAATTAAAACCCATTTACTATGTACAATTTTCAAGTGACGTCATTACATTTCGGTAGCGTTTTACCATCTAGAAGTACATGATAGTACTAATATAAATACAAAATTTGACAACAATCGGCCAAGTACTTTCGAAGATTATCTGTCTAATAAAAATCCGTGACGGCAGACAGACAGACAGATGGACACACAGGCGGAAAAGGGAGACCTATTTCTTCGTACTCTAGGGGACATGAAAGGTCAAGAAAAAGTAAAAGTAGAGAGTCGGCCGACGGACTCGGTTCGGGAAGTAAAGATAAGACAAAATAGAAATAATGAAGACGATTACGTAATTTTGGGTGAAGATTTCAAGGCAAGAATAGGAAAAAATGAGGGAGAATAAGAAATACAGAAGATGACGGAAAAAGAAGAACCAAAGAAAAAAGTGAGGAAAAGGAAGGATAGCAACTCTTGGAAATAAAACTGCCTATAGTGAAGGTAAATTAACCTATACATATAGTACCGAAAAGACAATTGGTAACAAATTATTATTCAATAGATAGTGAATGAAAAGTGGCAAAGTGAGGCTGAAATAGACAAATATGACAAAAAACAGAAAAAAAGAGAATGAGGAAGCGGATGAGAGACCTAGAGGGGAATATGAAGAGAAGTTAAGAACGCACACTTTTGTTGAAGCTAATACCCAAGCAAAAGGCGATAAATTGAAACAACTAATAAAAATGCAGAAATGAACTAGAAATTAGTAGATATAACAAAAAGGGAAGGAGAAAAAATGACTGCTGTAATGAGGAATGTCTTAAAAAGGGGAATAAGGGAGGCATTGAGAAGTTGGAAAAACTAAAATTTAACAAGAGAAGAGTTTCTCAGAGTCAGAGAAACAAATAAGAGTAAAAGCAAAAACCGAAAAAATAAAGGAAATTAGATACATTTCATGGAATTGTTAGGAACGAATCAAAAGTGGACAGAGTCCAGGAAAACAAAACACGACTAAAATAAAAGAAAAAGATGAAAATTACAAGGTGGAGCCAATGGTGGAGGGCGTGTTATGGCTGTAGTAAGGGTAAATAGACCTTTCGCGAGGAGACGCCCTTCGCGCCGCTATTGCTGCACTGCGTAGTTTGTTTTTCACACAACTTTGTTTTTTGCTCGATTTTTCATATTTAAATTTGCGGCTACACCACCGTAATGACTTGAATATTTGCATCCAGTTACTTTAACGCCTCTTTCTCTTTTTTGTGTGAATTATATTATTTCATTTTTGAAAGGTGGAAAGGGAGTTTGTAGTTGGAAAATAAGTTTCTCAGTAGCTTATTTCAACAGTGTTGCCCTCTAACAAATGTCTTCCACATTGTTGATGACTACAGGCCAAATTTTGACTTTTTCCCCGGTATTTTTTTTAAAGTTAGGTATCAAATTTGCTGCCAGTGCTGTCGCCTGGATTCATTTCTTTAAACGCATTAACATTATTTGGTGTGGTCTGTGTAATGTTTATAAATTAATGTAATGTTATATAACGAGAACGGTTGTTTATTATAATATAATTACATACCATAAGTTAATTTCTAGTATACAAACATTTTTATAAAATCACCTCATTCTACGTTGCATTGTGCAACTGTTAACTGTTTAACTTAGTAAATATTTACAGTTACGATAATATGAATGACAATTTATACTTATCTATGACAGTTATTTATAAGGATCGTAACATCAATCAAAATGGCACTAGCTATATCAGAGGAGGCGTTAGTCGAGTTTGATGACACGACACAAGCCACAATAACCCGTTACGGGTCAAATTTCATACAAAATTTTATCTTCTACCATAAGTTAATGACCAGACTGAAAATTGATCGTGTAGTTTGGTGTGTTATTTTGATTATTTTAAAGTCAAATGTGCTTTTTGGTCGTTTTTTCGTACTGGATTACTTATGTTACAAAAAGACAAGCAGTAGAAGTCCATAAATTAATTTCGTGTAGTTTCTCTTTAATTATTTGGCTATTTTTACAAATTTAGAAATTGAAAAGGGTAAACAGAAGATGAAAATTTGTTAGGTAAAGGTATGAAGAGTTTATCCCACAAGTACAGCACATCTTTTTCTAGGTAACGTTAATTATTAAATGAAGTGGAGCATGTATAAGGGAAAACTTAAAAGATTGAAACTTAAAAAATGTAAAACATGCTGACCCAGTTTTCAATTCATTATATAGTAAGAATTTTTGTTATAATGGGGAAAGATTTAACGCACTAGTGTGAAATTTGTTGTCGGTAGACTATGGAGTTCCTCAGGGTTCATCTTGTTACCCTTATTTTTTTTGTACAGGACTGATCTGCCATCACTGCTTTTTGAAAATATCAAAATACTTTTATATTCATCCGAAGAAATTGCTTCCTTATGCCATTCAATGAGGATAACACAGGCAAAGGTTAATGAATTATTCAATTTAATGAAGCTGTAAAACACTAGACCTGCACGATGCCAATCTTTCTTAAGATTAAGTATTTCTGGAAGGAATTAATAGGGGTCAGTTTTCTGATGATCACACCCTACTCACAAAGATTTAATGAACTTTATATTTTGCTTCACACTGTACACAAGATTATCAAGCTCGTCACCTCATCAAGCTTACATGAGTAAGTGCCTCGAGGACTATTTTTTACTCCATTGCAATATGAGTGCTATGTAGGAGAACATGACAGGTATATTTTAAACTCGAAACAAAATTTTGACAGCGTATTTTAATAACAAAAGAAAATAATTACAACATTAACTGTTTAAAAACAGTAAGACAAAAAGTTAATTACTATTACGGTTCTTTGATTAAATTTTTTGTGCACGTAATTATAGGTGGGTAATTTAAAAGATACCAAAAGTGTCAAGACGATTATAATTTTGAACTTATTAAATTTTTGAAAGTTCAAATTATATAAATGTTATTGACTTTTCATGACAAGTAACAACTAAACGTAGTTAGATTGTGTAAAAAAATATTTAGATCACAACAGCACAAAAATCAATTGTTTGCTTTATTATCACTATGTTACAGATATTTGGTGATCTTATCAAAATATTTTTCGCAATAGAAGTGCTGATAAATTTCAAACAACCGTGAACTGAGTTACTGTTCAAATACACTTTCTATTACGTTTCGTCCAAAATTTAGCAAAAACAACATGAAAGTTCTAACATTTGCTGTGGTGGTAAGTTCTAGAATTAGTCTTAGTTTCTCGAATATTTTTTTATCTTTCACAGTTTCTAGCATGTTACTGCTGTGTCACACTTTCATCAAGTACTCCTAAAAAATGTACACAACCTGGACTCTTTTGCGAAACGTGTTCCAGTTTAGTGGCATGTATTGAAAGCGCGAACTCTACATTTATCAAAGAGCCTATAAACACGTGTGATTCCCCCAGTAGTTGCGTTGGAGGTACTTGCGTCATGAATACAACAGATCCATTTTGTAGTGGCCTTGCCGACTTGAAGTTTATTTGCAGACATGTGGGAATTTTTCCAGATCCTTTCTATTGTAATAAATTTGTTATATGTGTGGATACAGGCAGTAATAGTCTTCAGCCATATGTTAACGAATGTGAAGATGGATTTCAGTATAATATATTCAATTCTTTATGCGATATCAAACTGGTAGATGGAGAGTGTAGGGAAGGAATATATCCCGTGCCTTTGTGTAGACTACATGGTCAGAGTACCGCTTTGGCAGCAAAACCTCAGATGTACTACGTATGCGAACGATACAGTGAATCAAAGGATGTTCTTTATCCAGTTCAGAACGTGTGTCCAGGTGGACAGGTTTATGAAAATTATGTGTGTGGAAAGGATACATTTACGACGGCAGTACCCACAATGAAAACTGAACAAACTATTTTTTCTTAATATTATAGGTATTGTAACAGTTTTATAATGTTTCATGAATAGACTTTCTTCTTGTCAAAATTATATGTATGTTGTTGTAGTGTGTATTTATAGTTTGCTTATTTGCAAAAGGATATATCATCTTTTGTTATTTTTCTTTTTATTTTCTGGTAATACTCAAATTATTACGTTGGTGTGGTGGCAAATTTAAATTGTGGCAGTTGAGCAAGAAATGACTAAGCTGAGTGAAATTACGGTGATATTAATTCAACTGATAAAAATCTTCAAGGTCCTTTCTCTCACAATAGATCATTGTTTAAGATTAGTGTAAATGTTACAAATTTAGATAAATGTTACTACAAAATAAATTCGGCCTGAATAAGCGAATTTAGAAACAGTGACATCAAACTACACGCGTTGATGAATAGTCAAAATTTTACACATTTCAGATTAGAAAATCATTAATTAGCTGGTCTTACACTAATTACACTCATTGACGAAGGGTAGTGGCGTCGAATGCGATTCATTTTTACTTAAACACGTACCATTTGGTGAAATTAAAAACGAAATTACGTACCCTCTTTTAATACACACCTAAACAAGAAGGTACGCGCTAAAAAGTGAGTGATCTTTCAAAATTGATAATAGTTTAATAATAAATAAATTCTACCTGTGTTGCCTTACAAAACTCACTAGAATTACTAGCTAAAGATTGGCCTTCTACCTCTCCCCTAATTTTTTATTTTTCAAAGGGGAAAAAAAAATTGGAGAACTGTACACCCATAGAGCACATATAATACCTACACTTAACTCCGGAAGAAATTTAGTTCTGAAACGTATTTCTGATGTGTATGATATACAATTGCGTTTCTGTAAGGTTGGAGTTTTTGCGCTGATTTTTATGGCAAGCTAATGATAATGAGGAGCTGGTGCGTGCACGGTGAAATTTCTACAGAAGATTTTCTCTTTCGTGATTGCTTATATATATAAAAATGATCACTTCTTCCTTTTTAGTTCGTGGAAGTCTTGGAATAAATTGCTTTGATCTCTATAGTCATTTCCTCGGCAATTAACAATCATCCTCTTCTATTTATTGATCTTAATTAGTTTTTTTAATGGTACATAAGGTTTTCAATAAACAGTTTAGGAGTGTAAGGTTACCCTTTTTATTATTCATTATTAATATTACGGTATTAATAGTACTACAGAAGTATGGTGAAAATTCGTTTTTGTCATTATTTTACTTCACTTAAGTTACAATTTTAAGGCTTTAAGTTATAAGGTTTAAGTTTTACATCTGAAGAATTTTATAGACAAAATAAAATAAAATTTAGACACATCCAAGATTCAAAAATCAACGAAATTGTGACCACTCGACTGCATTCCTCTGGTATACAATACTATTATCAAATTTAGATTTTTTTGATAAAAAGTAAAGGCAGGTTCATAAACCCCAAATATAGAAATATGTTATTTGGTAAAATTTAAACGGCATTTACTATACACAATTTTGAGGTGACGTCATCAGATTGTTAGTGGGAATAATCAGACAAATTTTGGTTAGCGTTTTACTGTCTCCACAATATTCCACTTATACATCTAAAATTTGAAAACAGTTGGTCAAAGAGACTATTTTATTGTAGATTTACTTTTGATTTTGTTGCTTAAAGTTAGTTAAAAATGACAAATAAACAATATTTAAAACATTCCTTTAAATCATTATAGATACAGTTTCCGCCAAAAAATTTCAAACATCACTTTTCTGTCATGTCAAAAATTTTAATGTAGTCTATGCTTTATTGTCATTATTTCGGACAGCTGGAATGTCAAACCATGGCCGACTAGTATAAAGATTATGGCCTGTCCAAAGGAATGCCAAAGGTACCATACGTGCTGCCATCTATTAATAATTCAAAATCGACAAAAGAATTGACCCTTTTCCTGTAAGATCGTAAAACTTCCATAGTGACTTTTCGTGCGCACGCATCTTCAAAACCACGTTGGAAATTGTATCCGGCACTCCGGCAGCAGAGCAAAGGCCTGTGACAACAAACCGCTTTGACAGAATGCAACCGGCTACACATGCGTAATCTGTCGCTCATTGGTTAATTTAAACTTGGCGCTCCAAAAATCTGACTTCGCCTGCGCGATGTTGTCTCACTCTGTGTCATTGGAATTTATATAATGTCTACTCACTTTGCTTACAGGAAAAGGGTCAATTATTAACACCTTTTGAAAGGCACAAAGGCATTCATACCCAAACAAACTACCATTACACGTTTTGAAGTCCCATAATGTCAAGTCAAATTAAAATTTTGCTAAATTATTAATAGATGGCAACACGTATCGTACCTCTTGGACAGGCCATAATCTTTATACTAGTCGGCCATGGTCAAACTTTCAAAATTCCAGCTTACGCTACAGCTACATTCATGTAAGTGTCAAATGTAAAAGTTAAAAATGACTGTCAAATATTTAGGTTAGAAACATCTAAAGGTTGCTTTACACTATCTGACGACTGAATGACATTGACGTCTGAAATTTTTTGGCGGCAACTGTAGATAGATAAACAGATAGTAAAGATCACGAGAAAAACAAAATGCGATATATCAGTTGTTCAATTGTTATCAATTTGCAGTAAACAAAAAAAACACAGATTTGCTATTACTATTTCGTAAAATACCGAAACTTCATAAAGGATGTAATCATGTTTTTGAAGCGTTTTGTTTCCTAGATTAACAGATCGACCCTGTATAAAAACGTTCACGCTGCATTAATTTTATCATACTTGTCGAAAAAAGATAGCCTGAAGCCATGAATATTCTCATAATTTGTTCGTTGATGGTAAGTTATACTTTTAAATCAAGATACCTTTTTCAAATTTTTCTTCTATGTTTCAGCTTTGGGGCTACTGCGCTGCCGAAGAGCCCCTCGACTATCGCCTAGCGCTTGCTGCTGAATGCACACCAAGAGAGTGTACAAGTGCTGGACCTCTGTGCGAATCGTGTACCAGTCTGGTAGCATGCGTGGAAGATGGTGACACTGGTAACTATACCAGAAACCCCGTAGAAACTTGTAAGGGTGATACACCGTTATGTATTGACGGACAGTGCACCACTGGCGATGATCCTTTCTGCACAGGACTTAGTGAAGTTTCTTTTGTATGCAACCAGATAGGAGTTTTTCCGGACCCTTTCTATCATAACAAATTCGTTTTTTGTTATAAAGATGGTAGCACTTTTAAAAGCATTTTGAATGTATGTGACGATGGTTTTGGCTTTAATATAGCTACAGATTTGTGCAGTGAGCCAGTTACTAACGCAGAATGTCCATATGAGCCTTATCCAGTACCGTTGTGTGACGGTCCGGGACAGACAGGAGCTCTACCGGAAAAACCCTCCATGTATTATTTGTGTAAAGAACGTGCTATTAGTTCAAGTAAGAATGCTTATTATCCATATTTGTATATATGTCCTGGTACAGAAGAATATGTGGACTACAATTGCGGCTCTTCTACCGCGTCAACGCCATCAACAACTCTGCCGATAACATAATGAGGATTTTTTTATTTTCATACATTTGTAATTAATATTTTGTCCAACAACATTAATACATACTGCTAGTAACACTTAGAAATGATTTTTTGCAACCTTTACCTTTTTTAGTAAGTTTTTCAAAATCTCCAGCTTTTTTGCACTGCTTTTTTTTGACTATCTCATCTGTATACAAATGAACCAAGAAATTTACTTGCGTAAAATGTAGAAATTTGTCTAAAATAATTTTCCCTTAAAATTCTAGACTGATTTAGTCATTATTATCGAAGCTTTGCTAACTGTTTCCTGTTTATATAAATGTACTTTTCCTCAGTCTAAATCTGGTTACCCTTTTGACGTTGGATTTTAAGACTTAATTGTACCAATGGGGTAGGATGAAACAATCTACTGTTTTTTATACAATTATTTACATTTTTCACATACCCAAGATGTTGCAATTACAAATGCAATACGTATTCATAAAAATATAACACACACGTAAAAAACGATATACGTAAATATTAAATCTTTTTACTTTCAAAGTGCAAACTCAGAACGAAACAATAGGGCGCCCGTTTCCGTCTGTATGTCTGTCTGCCATCTGTTCAGATTTTTATAAGACTGATAATCTCCGAAACTGCTGAACCAGTTATTGAATTTCAAATGTGAATTACGAATATCGTGTAGATGTTCAAACATTGGCTAATCATCCCTACCAACAATTTGTTGACCACATCTCCAAAATTTACAGTAGTAAATAGGAGTATTATTTAAATTTTATAAAATAAGTTAGTCCTGCACGTGTGGTTTATGAAGCCCTGCTGAATTTTTATCCTAAACATCCAGATTTTTGGAGAAAAAAATCAAAATTACAACAATCTTATAATTTAATTTTGAAACTGGTCCGAAATGTTAGAAACGATTTAGGTTATCGTAAGCATGGTAAATCGTTAATTAATTTTTTCCATTTATGCCCTTCTAAAACAATGATGACACGATTTTACAATTTTGCCGCTTTAATTTATATTTCCCACATATAATTTCAAAAGCATTGTTTATTGTTTCAGATCTAATTCTTATCTGAATGACTCGGGTTTAATGATTGGATTATCGGACGTTTTAGATGAAATTTCTAAACTGAAATCAGTAGAAAGTAAAATGGTACATTTCACCCCACATTTTTTTTTCATCTATTTAAGCTTTTTACTTCCCGAACGTAAGCAAAGGAAGTATTGTAATCGAGTCCGTCGGCCGACTCTCTACTTTTACGTTTTCTCGATCTTTCATGACCCCTAGAAGACGAAGAAATAGGTCTCCCATTTCCGTCTGTCTGTCCGTCTGTCCGTCTGTCCGTCCGTCTGTCCGTCCGTCTGTCCGTCCGTCTGTCCGTCTGTCCGTCTGTTGTCCCGGATTTTTATTAGACAGATAATCTCCGAAAGTACTCGACCGATTGTTGTGAAATTTTGTACTTATATTAAGAATATCATGTAGATGGTAAAACGCTAACCAAAATTTGTCTAATCATCCCCACCACTAATGCGATGACGTCACTTCAAAATTGTACATAGTAAATGGGTTTTCAATTGTATAAAATAACATAGTCCTGCACATGTAGTTTACAACTCTGAATCGACTTTTCACCCGAAACGTCCAGATTTTTGGAAAAAAAATCAAAATTATAAAACAACATTTTGAAATTTAATTTTTAATCTGCTAACCAGAATGCTTTGAAATGTTGCAGATGTTTTAAGGCTATAAAGAGCATCATAAATCTTTAGTCAAAAAATATTTGCTTATCCCCTCCAAAAACTTGATGACGTCAGCTCAAAAGTTTGTGGAATAAATCATATCTAAAATGTACAAAATATGATGAGTCTGTACTTGTGATCTATCACTCCATTCATATTTTTTGGATTTGCATATACAGAGTGACTCAAAAAAATTAATGAATGCGTAAATATATTTTATTGATTTAATCAGGAACTACAAAACCGAATGCTCTGAAATCTTGCAGATGTTTTAAGGTCATAAAGAGCATAATAAATGTTTAGTCAAAATATATTTGCTTATCCCCTCCAAAAACTTGATGACGTCAGCTCGAAAGTTTGCCGAATAAATCATATCTAAAATGTACAAAATATGATGAGCCTGTACTTGTCATTTATCACTCCATTCATATTTTTTGGATTTGCATATACAGAGTGACTCAAAAAAATTAATGAATGCGTAAATATATTTTATTGATTTAATCAGGAACTACAAAACGGAATGCTCTGACATCTTGCACATGTTTTAAGGTTATAAAGAGCATAATAAATGTTTAGTCAAAATATATTTGCTTATCCCCTCCAAAAACTTGATGACGTCAGCTCGAAAATTTGCCGAATAAATCATATCTAAAATGTACAAAATATGATCAGTCTGTACTTGTGATCTATCACTCCATTCATATTTTTTGGATTTGCATATACAGGGTGATTCAAGAAAATAAATGAAAGCGTAAATTTATTTTACTGATTTACTCAGGAACTACAAAACCGAATGCTTCGAAATCTTGAAGATATTTTAAAATTATCATAAGCATGGTAAATTTTTGATCAAAACGTATTTGGTCGTCCCCCCTAAAAAATTTATGACGTCACCACAAAATTTTGCTGAATAAATCCTATCTAAAATGTACAAAATATGGTGAGTCTCTTCTTGTGATTTATCATTCCATTCAAATTTTTTCGATTTGCATATACAGGGTGACTCAAAAAAATTAATGAATGCGTAAATTTATTTTATTGATTTAATCAGGAACTACAAAACCGAATGCTTTGAAATCTTGCAGATGTTTTAAGGTTATAAAGAGCATAATAAATTTTTAGTCAAAATATATTTGGTTATCTTCTACAAAAAACTGATGACGTCAGCTCAAAAGTTTGCCGAATAAATCGTATCTAAAATGTACAAAATATGATGAGTCTGTACTTGTGATTTATCATTCCATTCATATTTTTGGATTTTGCATATGCAGGGTGACTCAAAAAAATTAATGAAGGCGTGAATTTATTTTATCGATTTAATCAGGAATTACAAAACCGAATGCTTTGAAATCTTGGGAATATTTTAAAGTTATTATAAGCATGGTAAACTTTTGTTCAAAATGTATTTGTTCATCCCTCCTAAAAAAATTGATGACGTCACCCTTAAATTTTGCTGAATAAATCCTATCTAAAATGCAAAAAATATGATGAGTTTGTACTTGTGATTTATCATTCCATTCATATTTTTTAGATTTTCTTAAGAGGTGGTTCAAAAAAATTAATGAAGTCAATTTATTTTATTGATTAAATTAAAGGCAACACTTATTATTAGTATTACACCCCAACCAACCCAATTTGGTAGACACAAAATTTGTTAAAGGAAAAACTCGGTTGAAACATAAGGGTAGCACGCTTATTTACATCGACTTTAACATTACAGACCTGCATTTGTTTTATGCGTTCACTTAGTTCCGCGAATGTGAAATAGACATGTTTATAATCAACCAATTGTGAATTTCACCGTCAAGAATAAAACCCAATGTTTTATATAATAAGCGGAAGTCGAAGCAATAAAACCGATGGTCGTTTTGTTTACAGTTTCTCTGTTTGACTCTCACGTATGCTGTTACGCCTGTCATCTTAAATTAAGAATGTTTATACATACACGATTTTCAGTTGCCTCTGATACGTATACGTGAGTAAATTGTTTCGTTATTTTATTGATTATTACAAATCAATATTCAAAACGACCCAATTCATTTTCCCGAAAATTTGAGAATATAATAATTTTATTCTTAGTATTACACTACATCTATCCCAACTGATATACGTGTCCTTGCAAAAATGTTGATGACGTCATCGCAATTTTTTTTTAAATTCCCACTACAAAAATGTAATGAGAAAAAAAACACAATAGGCATGCAGTCGTCAAGTTTCCGACAGCGAGGGAAGTACTGTCTAAACTCTTTAGACCAATTTTTAAGGTTATTTTTCAAGAAGTTGTGGATTTCCAAAGATTTTGATCATCATTCCATATAGAAACTGTAGATTCTGAGATTTTTATAAAAAAAATCGGTTGTCTGTAAAGTCGGTTTACTGACGATAGTTGAACGTGACAACGTCTTAAGAAAATACTGATGGAATGGTAGCATTTTTCAAAAGAAAATTTTAATTTCATTTGTTTAATAGATTTGTATGTATATAGAGAAGGAGGTAATTAGAAATCACAATGAAATTGATCAAGTTAGATTTATTTATACGCATAAATACAATTATGTCAATTTTTTTAGTTTAATGTGTCTTGAAAACATTGACACTACATTCACTTTTCACTGCACTTGATACTCGACCAAAACATGTCAATGTACTATAATATAGCAGCTGTCCACGCAGACGCATCGCTCACTCAAGTAGGAGAGAGACGGATGGCGAACGCTGCCGAACGCGAAGGCCGATTGTGCCTCTTTGTCGCTCGTTCCGCGTTCTCGCTTGCACTTCAAGCCTTACATGGAACGTGACAGAGCGAGGTAACGCCGCATGAGTCATGCTTTTTCGTGCGTGCAGCCGGCTCCATCGATTTATAAGACGTTGTCACGTCAAAAATAAAAAAACCACTTCAACGTCAAAAATAGTCTATTAAAAATGGTAAAGTATCTTATAATAAATTAATAAACAAAATGTGGGGTGAAACTACTAATTTGTCCGTTTATTTTTTGGTGTTATAAATTTAATTTTTTTCGAATTGCATACTTCTGCATGTGTGATTCATGAATCCGTATCGAGTTTTCACCCTAGATATCCAGATTTTTGGGAAAAAAAAATCAAAATTGTGTAAATTTTGCAACTTAACTTTTGATATTGTAAAACGGAATGCTTTAAAAACTTACAACTTTTTTAAGATTTTCATAAGCATGATAAATCGTTAATCAAAATTGTTTCGTTTATAACCTCCTAAAAAATCATGACGTCATTTCATAATTTTGTAGAACAAATGTTTCTTAAATTTATAGAACTACATATTCCATGTATGTATAATTTAGAACCCGTGTTTTTACCCTAGACATCGAGATTTGTGGAAAAAAAATCAAGTTTATCTTTAAAATTGCAAAGACGAATGTACTAAAATATTACAAACGTTTTTTAAGGCCTTCCCAAAAAATGATAACGTCATTCTGCCAAACAAATGTTTTTTAAATTTTATAAAATAACATATTCCGGCATGTGTGATTTATGAATCCGTGCTGAGTTTTCACCTTTACCATCCAGATTTTTTGGAAAAAAATCAATGTTGTTTAACAATATTTTATAATGTAACTTCGAAATTGGAAAAACCGAATGATGTGAAATCGTGAAAATATTTTAAGATTATTCGAAACATGGTAAATCGTTAGTTAAAATTTGTCCGTCATCTTATATTTTTGCCGAATTTCTTCAAATTTATGAGTGTTTTTGGGAAAAAACTGAGCCTCTGCATTGAGGATACAAAATCAACCAAATTTCATTTTCTTTTAATCGCTGATGTTTGTGCTAGATGTCGAATTCGGTCGAAGTATAAACATAAACAGTCGAAGTTAAGCGTATACTGAGAAATTGAAATTGTTTACATTTTTTCCCGTTAGTTGTCTGCCGTAAATTTATTTCATATTTAAGGACGTAGGGGTTGCCACTTATAGAGGTTCACAGTCATCACAAAAAGAAAATCGCAGAACCTAATTTTATCATTTTCTAAAGAAATGGAATTTATCGGACCATACTTCAAATGCGAGGGAAGTTCTGTCAAAATTCCAAAAACAACATCATTTTTTCAAAACGCCAATGTTGCCAGCAAAACTGAAAATATTAACGGTAATAATAATACTCAAACAACATCTGTAAACAATACCAGAGGGCCCCATTTCATAAATTTTCTGGTGGACCCCCATGTCCTCAATCCGACACTGGGATGGTTTCCTTTCTGGATGACTAACTAAAATTTACTACAGAAATTCTAGACATAGCGGAGTCAGATTCACTTCTAGTTTAAAAATTTTATTATTATGATTATTTATTAGGAGTATTATTTAGAACTAGAATAAGGATTAGCTTGGGGGAAAAACTTATTTATTTCTTTTGTTGTTTTTCAGGGATCGTTTCGGTCCTGTGTCTTTTAACGTATTTATTAATGATCTCTCGCGTAAAAACTATATGCCTTTTACTCCATTACCTAAAGCAGATGGATTATTTATAATTTGAGTTATGAAGACTCTTACTAAAGTTGGTGTATTACAACATAACTTGAATAAATTGACTAACGTTGCAGTTAACATTCCAGATATTTTGTCTAAAGCAGGTCTTCGTGTTCAGAAATTCTTTACCCGCTATTTTTCACATTAGTGTATAACTAAAAACCTATGTGTACCATCCTCGTTGGAACAGCGCCATAGCTTATAGATTGATACACTATAAGGAATTCAAGTTTGTCTACAAGTAATTTGTGTATAAATGTATGAATTTTTACTTTCCGAGCATAAGCTAAGGAAATATTAAGGTCCATCCTCTGAATGGTTACTTTTATGTTTTCTCGACGTTTCATGACCTCTAGAGTAAAAAAATAAGTCTTCTGTTTTCATCTGTCTGTCTCTTTGTCCTTTGATGTTTGTCTGTGTCGATTTTTATTAGACAGATAATCTCTGAAACTACCTTAGTTATTATTTGGTTGTTATTACTCCTAAACTAACTTAGGGGGTAACAAGTTGGATTTGCGAAATCGCTAGTGCCAAGTAATTTGAGGACCCGGGGTGGGTTAGTTAGCATCATGCTTGCCCGCTACACCTTGGGTCGTGGGTTCGATTCCCGCCATGGCTCTGGGTGTAACGTGTATGTCCCGTTCCCCTGTAATTGGGCCTCGGTGCCTGTTGGGGGACGTAATAGAATAAAAATAAAAATAAAAAATAAAATAAAAATTTCGATGACAGTTGTTGTGATTCGCGATTTGATTCGTCCTCGCGACTGCTGTCATCGTATCTTCCATGGCAACGGGGACTTGCGAAATCGCAAATCCAACTTGAAATTGACCCGTTAGTTATTAATAATTTATAAATAATTTGTTAGAATACGATCCACAACATCATTTTTTAGTGTTGATAGATGTCATTTTTGGCAATTATTATTCTTCAAATTTGAAGTTTAATATATTAAAAAATTTGGTTCAAGGATTTTTTTACACTTTTTTTTATTCTTCATAGCCTTCTTAACAACGTAACATCGAGTTTCTAACACTTATACAGACTATTTACACTTAACTTATTCGATAATTGTCAAAATACAAAAAGCTATTTTGTTAGGAACATGTTGTATTGTTCCAAGTTTCTCAAACAGTGTGATCATATCAGCCAGAATAGGTTAGCACCAGTAGGTCAGAGTAGTGTAGGTCACTTTTCAAGTGATGCGCGGATAAATGATTGGTAGTTACGCTAGCTCTTGAGGATGGGGTCCGATTAAAAAATAATAGCAGACGAATTTGTATGCTGTAATTTTAGGATTTTGATTTTTTTTTGACTCGTTAACAGGTGCACTTATCACTCAATTAAACGATCACATGATCAAGTTTAATCAAGTCCTGAGATTTACAAGTGTTAACTGCACATAAGATTTCTGGGAACAGAGAATAAACAATCGAAAAGTTGCCAAATTGTTATCAGAAATCATAAATAAACAAACATACTTTTGCTGTTATTATTTCGTAAACTTATCTGAATTTTTGACAAAAATAGAACAGTAATAAGTGTTTTTGGTGAGATATAATTACACTGATTTTTTTAAGCAATATAGTAGAGGGATTAGTAAGAACCAAGCAGAGTATAATAAAACAATTTTCATTGTTCTGTGTCAAAATAAAAAGAATTTCTAGTTTGAAATCATGAAATTAGTTACATTTATCTCTTTTACGGTAAGTTTTACCCATTGCATCGGTCTAAATGTGTTTCTGTAATTTAGCAGTTCCCAACCATGCATTGCTATTAGAAAAACCTAAGACAGGGAAAACGGATAATCTTTTTCAGACGGGTGTCGTAAATTGGGCTAATTTATACATGGTTGGGAACCGCTGCTCTAGCATATCAGAACATTATTTTGAATATATTTGCTCCAGATTCTGACCTGCTGTACCTCAGAAAAGCTGATAGATTATCGTATACCTCTCGCAAGCAGTTGTACACCAAGGGAGTGCATTAGCCCTGGACCTCTCTGCGAAACGTGTTCCAGTTTGGTAGCATGTGTTGAACTAGCGAATGGTACTTACGGGAAACACCAATTGGCAACTTGTAACTCACCAACGCATTGTGTCCATGAGGTGTGTACTAGTGACTATGATCCTTTCTGTGCTGGTGCTACCGAGCTGTCATTTCCATGCAACCAGGTTGGAAGTTTCCCCGATCCTTTTTATCATAACAGATTCGTTCTTTGTGTTGACGATGATTCAGATTTAAAAGCTTACTCAAATGTGTGCGAAGACGGATTTAGCTTTAATCTAGCCAATGATTTATGTAGCGAGGTTATGGCACATGCGGAATGTCCACAAGAACCATATCCAGTACCGATATGTCACATTCTAGGACAATCTGGAGCTTTGGAACAGAAGCCTGCCATGTATTATATATGTAAGGAACGAACCTATGACTCAAATAAGAGTGCGCTTTATCCTTACTTATACTTATGTCCTGGAGGACAAGAATATAAGGATTTTATGTGTACGTCTTACAATCTCCAAGAAAAAAGTTAAACTGAAAATGAAGAATTTTATTTTTGTTATTGTTCAGTTTTCTAATAATATGTTTGTACAATATAATATTATTAACGTGTTCATACAGTTTGTTTATTATATTATTTTAGATCTCTATACGTTTAAAAGGACTTCCAATTTTTGTAATTCTGTTGCATTGTACTAAATTTATATAATAATAATAATAAGAAGAAGAAAAATATCTTTTTTTGTGTAATTAGTTTTAATTAGGATAAATATTTGATTCCAGTAACTTCTCTGATGTGCATTTTATATTTGCACAGCTGGTTTATTTAATGTCTAGATTTTCAGTAATCACGTGATTAAAATAGCAATGCACTTACACTGTGGTACGAAATACATTTGTGGTCTCAAGATTGCAACATATTCAAACGAAAATCGTAGCCTTACTTACAAATTTATTTGTAAAAGCGCTAATTAATATTTATTATCAACCCAGAATGAGTGACAAAATTTGTATTCATCCACATTACAACAAGTTGTTTTTAATGTAAATTTTGTATGCCATTCATGAATAAAGAGATTTTATTCATTCGCTGTGCTCTCGTTTGTTCAATGTCTTCTGTAGTTAATTTTTCGCCCGTGAATAAAACCTATCCTTTTTAGTATTATTTTCAGCTGTGTGTCACTTAAGTTGATAAATTAATTTTTTTGTAATATTACAAGTGTAAGGATAAACCTCTTCAACTCAAATATCTGAAAAAAATGACTAAAGCATTCTCCAAATGAACGCGACAAATTATTTAAAAGTAGCAATGTCAGAGTGCGCAGAAGAGAACACCACCAGTCGAGTCCACTTTCAAACTGCAGGTGGGGTTAACTGCACCTATGCTATTCTCAAATAATTCGGAGTCTAAGACACGTGCCATGCGACTTTAGAGCCTGTAGGGTGCTATAAGTAATACTTTCTTAATTTCTAAACGATTTTCATAAGATACACTGAAAAATTACTTAAAAAGGACTTCTGAAACAACGAAACTGAAAAAGTGTACCTAGCTTATGTAACATGTTAGAATAACGTGATCGTCAGTTACGAGTCGCGTTTTCCATAAATGGGGGGAGTAAGACTTTAGGGAAAAGAAATTCACTTGAGGAAAATTAATAAAATATTGTAGATACTAGTAAAGTACTATTTTGGAAAACTAGTTTAAACGGGTGTTAATTGACAACAAACAATCATTATTCAGTTTTAACTTTGCTTTTTAAAAATTTTTAGGTTACTTGATTACAGATGTTTAAGCTAAGCGTATTTTTCCCAACCTTTGTGGAGAGAGTTATTAAACTTTCACATAAAGATCTCTCTAATGGTTACATCTTGTTAAAGTTTTTAAATTTCGTTGTATTGTATTGTTTGTAAGGAGTGGGCTGTTATCGATATTTTTCGAGAATTGCTTATTTTCACAATTTTTACTTCCCGAGCGTAAGCAAAGGAAGTATTGTAATCGAGTCCGTCGGTCGACTCTCTACTTTTACGTTTTCTCGGCCTTTCATGACCCTTAGAGGACGAAGAAATAGGTCTCCCGTTTCCGTCTGTCTGTCCGTCTGTCCGTCTGTCTGCCGTCCCGGATTTTTATTAGACAGATAATCTCCGAAAGTACTGAACCGATTGTTGCGAAATTTTGTATTTATATTAGGAATATCATGTAGATGGTAAAACACTAACCAAAATTTGTCCAATCATCCCCACCACTAATGCGATGACGTCAGTTCAAAATTGTACATAGTAACTGGGTTTTAAATTGTATAAAATAACATAGTCCTATACATGTAGTTTATGACTCTGAATTGAGCTTTTACCCGAAACGTCCAGATTTTTGGAAAAAAAATGAAAATCATGAAACAACATTTTGCAATTTAATTTTGAATCTGCAAAACCGAATACTTTGAAATCTTGCAGATGGTTTACAGTTATGACAAGCACGATAAATTTTTAATCAAAATATATTTACTTATCCCCTCCAAAAAAATGTGCAAAATATGATGAGTCTGTACTTGTGATTTATCATTCCATTCATATTTTTTGGATTTGTATATTCAGGGTGACTCAAAAAAATTAATGAATGTGCGAATTTATTTTATTGATTTAATCAGGAACTACAAAACCGAATGCTTTGAAATCTTGGACATCTTTTAAAATTATCATAGGCATGGTAAATTTTTAGTCAAAATGTATTTGCTCATCCCCCCCTAAAAAATTAATGACGCCACCGCAAAATTTTGCTGAAAAAATGCTTAAATGTGTAAAGAATGATGAGTCTATACTTGTGATTTATCACTGCATTAATATTTTTTAGATTTGCTTATACAGGGTGTCTGAAAAAAAATTAATGACTGAGTCAATTAATTTTATTGATTAAATCAAGAATTACAAAAATGTAATACAAAAAATTGGTCTAAAGAGTTTAGACAGTACTTCCCTCGCTGTCGGAAACTTGACGACTGCATGCCTATTGTGTTTTTTTTTCTCATTACATTTTTGTAGTGGGAATTTAAAAAAAAATTGTGATGACGTCATCAACAGTTGGGATAGATGTAGTGTAATACTAAGAATAAAATTATTGTATTCCCAAATTTTCGGGAAAATGAATTGGGTCGTTTTGAATATTGATTTCTTATAATCAATAAAATAACGAAACAATTTACTCAGGTATACGGCGCCGGTGTGTAATATCTAGAGAGCGGATTTCTGTCGGGCTAGGCAAGGCCAAACTCGGTACGGCTCGTGCGGGATGCGAATTCATTGCGGTTGCGGACTGCACTTCGTTTATTTGAGATTAGAATAACGCTGTTTCGTTGCACTCTGCTGTTAATTCCCGTTCTCATTTACTTAGTCGTTTGATTAATAAATCGTTAATTATATTTATGGAATTAGTACCGATTAAACGTGACGTAGCCCGACAAAAATCCGCTGTCTGGTAATATGAAAGGCAACTGAAAATCGTTTATGTATAAACATTCTTAATTTAAGATGACAAGCGTAACAGCATACGTGAGAGTCAAACAGAGAAACTGTAAACAAAACGACCATCGGTTTTATTGCTTCGACTTCCGCTTATTATATAAAACATTGGGTTTTATTTTAATTCTTGACGGTGAAATTCACAATTGGTTGATTATAAACATGTCTATTCCACATTCGCGGAACCAAGTGAACGCATAAAACAAATGCAGGTCTGTAATGTTAAAGTCGATGTAAATAAGCGTGCTACCCTTATGTTTCAACCGAGTTTTTCCTTTAACAAATTTTGTGTCTACCAAATTGGGTTGGTTGGGGTGTAATACTAATAATGAGTGTTGCCTTTAATTTAATCAATAAAATAAATTGACTACATAAATTTTTTTGAACCACCTCTTAAGAAAATCTAAAAAATATGAATGGAATGATATATCACAAGTACAAACTCATCATATTTTTTGCATTTTAGATAGGATTTATTCAGCAAAATTTAAGGGTGACGTCATCAATTTTTTTAGGAGGGATGAACAAATACATTTTGAACAAAAGTTTACCATGCTTATAATAACTTTAAAATATTCCCAAGATTTCAAAGCATTCGGTTTTGTAATTCCTGATTAAATCGATAAAATAAATTCACGCCTTCATTAATTTTTTTGAGTCACCCTGTATATGCAAATCGAAAAAATTTGAATGGAATGATAAATCACAAGAAGAGACTCACCATATTTTGTACATTTTAGATAGGATTTATTCAGCAAATTTTTGTGGTGACGTCATAAATTTTTTAGGGGGGACGACCAAATACATTTTGATCAAAAATTTACCATGCTTATGATAGTTTTAAAATATCTTCAAGATTTCGAAGCATTCGGTTTTGTAGTTCCTGAGTAAATCAGTAAAATAAATTTACGCTTTCATTTATTTTCTTGAATCACCCTGTATATGCAAATTCAAAAAATATGAATGGAGTGATAGATCACAAGTACAGACTGATCATATTTTGTACATTTTAGATATGATTTATTTGGCAAATTTTCGAGCTGACGTCATCAAGTTTTTGGAGGGGATAAGCAAATATATTTTGACTAAACATTTATTATGCTCTTTATAACCTTAAAACATGTGCAAGATGTCAGAGCATTCCGTTTTGTAGTTCCTGATTAAATCAATAAAATATATTTACGCATTCATTAATTTTTTTGATTCACTCTGTATATGCAAATCCAAAAAATATGAATGGAGTGATAAATGACAAGTACAGGCTCATCATATTTTGTACATTTTAGATATGATTAATTCGGCAAACTTTCGAGCTGACGTCATCAAGTTTTTGGAGGGGATAAGCAAATATATTTTGACTAAACATTTATTATGCTCTTTATGACCTTAAAACATCTGCAAGATTTCAGAGCATTCGGTTTTGTAGTTCCTGATTAAATCAATAAAATATATTTACGCATTCATTAATTTTTTTGAGTCACCCTGTATATGCAAATCCAAAAAATATGAATGGAGTGATAGATCACAAGTACAGACTCATCATATTTTGTACATTTTAGATGTGATTTATTCCACAAACTTTTGAGCTGACGTCATCAAGTTTTTGGAGGGGATAAGCAAATATTTTTTGACTAAAGATTTATGATGCTCTTTATAGCCTTAAAACATCTGCAACATTTCAAAGCATTCTGGTTAGCAGATTAAAAATTAAATTTCAAAATGTTGTTTCATAATTTTGATTTTTTTTCCAAAAATCTGGACGTTTCGGGTGAAAAGTCGATTCAGAGTTGTAAACTACATGTGTAGGACTTTGTTATTTTATACAATTGAAAACCCATTTACTATGTACAATTTTGAAGTGACGTCATCGCATTAGTGGTGGGGATGATTAGACAAATTTTGGTTAGCGTTTTACCATCTACATGATATTCTTAATATAAGTACAAAATTTCACAACAATCGGTCGAGTACTTTCGGAGATTATCTGTCTAATAAAAATCCGGGACGGCAGACGGACAGACAGACGGACGGACAGACGGACAGACGGACAGACGGACAGACAGACGGAAATGGGAGACCTATTTCTTCGTCTTCTAGGGGTCATGAAAGATCGAGAAAACGTAAAAGGAGAGAGTCGGCCGACGGACTCGATTACAATACTTCCTTTGCTTACGCTCGGGAAGTAAAAAGACATAATAGGTTTGCAGCGTCACGTTCCCGACAGCGAGGGAAGTACTGTCTAAACTCTTAAGACCATTTTTTTTAATATACTGAAAATACACGAAGAAATATAAATGTTGCCCTAGCTAAATCATTTTAAAATTGTAAGTAACATTCACAAATAATTTTGGCCATTTAACTTCCAGAAAGTTCTAGAAAATTCCAGTGGACTTCAACTATTTCTGTTTACTAATAAAATATTTCAGTAACACCAGTGTGCCCAACATTATTCCCATAATTCCAAAATTGCATTAACGTGTCTGAAGTTCGAAAATATCCAAAAAATAGCCGTTTATGTTTTTCACATGGAATACTTTCGGATATGTTATTTAGAGCTCTAATTTTTTTTACCATACGTCAAATTTTATTAAAACCAAATCTGCCTTTATTCTTCCTACCGTTTTTTAAATATCATTTCTTTAATGCCATTTGTTGGAATTAGATCCACCTACCAGGGAAACACATACAATTTAGTGAAAAGTATCATTTTTATTATATAGGGTGGTAAAAAATTGATGTTTAAGCTCGATGGTGCGCTGTTAATAAGGCTCAAAAAAATGATTACAAAAATGGTCGAAAGTTGTTTCCACAGAACTTCCCTCGCACCTAAAGTACAATGAAACATATCCAGCTTGTATATCAACTTGGATTGGTGCAGTGTAATACTAAAAATAACAGTATTTTATTCCTAAAATTTTCTAGGACAATAGAGTGAGTCGTTAAAAACTCATCATATTTTGCACATTTTGATTAAAAAGTTACCATGCTTATAATAACTTCAAGATTTCAAAACATATTGTTTTGCAGTTTCTGTTTTAAGCAATAAAATAAATCGACTCAGTCATTAATTTTTTTGAGACACCTTGTATAGGCAAATCTAAAAAAATATTACTGCAATGAAAAGACACTCCACATATTTTGCACTTTTAAGATTTCTTTGGTAAAACTTTGAGATGACGTTATCAATTTTTTGGAGGGGATAAGCAAATATATTTTGATTAAAAATTTATCATGCTTACCATAACTGTCAAACATCTGCAAGATTTCAAAGCATTCGATTTTGCAGTCTCAAAATTAAAATGCAAAATGTTGTTTTATAATTTTGACTTTTTTCCCCAAAAATCTGGAGGTTTCGGGTAAAAACTCAACACTATGTACAATTTGGAACTGACGTCATCATATTATTGGTGGGGATGATTAGACAAAGTTTGGTTAGCGTTTTACCATCTGCATGATATTCGTAATATAAATACAAAATTTCGCAACAATCGGTCCAGTACTTTCGGAGATTATCTGTCGAATAAAAATCCGGGGCGGAAGATAGGCGAACAGACGGACAAACAGACGGAAACGGGAGACCTATTTCTTCGTACTTCGCAACTTTGACTAACTGTCAAAAGTAAAAAATGACATTGTGGTTCATATTCTAACGAATTATTATTGAATTATTAATAACTAATTATTCAACTGCCCATTAGACATGTTCGTTAAAACAAACCAGAATTACGAATAAGTTAATCGTCAAGTTTAATTTTTCAAAAGTTTGATACAAGGAATAAGACCTTTTTTTTTTTCGAGTTCGTCAGAGCCTTCTTAACAACGTACCATCGAGCTTATAAGACATTTTTCATCACCCTGTATGTCCAAACCACTATTTTTGAAACGTTATTAAATGCTCACAGTTAAATTTTTCACTAGGTCTTTTTTACACATAGAACCCGTAGAAGATCTTTTGTTGAAAAAAAATCTTAAGGTAGAATAAATCGGTTAACATTTTATTGTAGCAAAGTAATGAATCTTTCCTACATCTAAAAGCGTTGTATTACGGTGCTACAAATTTAAAGTTTGAGCTCGATAATATATAAGTATTTTTTTCAAGAAATGTCATAAAAGCAGTTTTTTAATGAAGTAAATTTAATAATACAGTAAGGTAGTTTGCATACGACTGCTTTTAAAAGTTGGCTTTCCATCTCGTTGACATGTGTCAAAAGTGAATCATTTTAATAACTAGGTTTGACATACTTCCAAACGTTAATAGTTATTTATTATACAAGCGGTTAAAGTGAATGTTTAATGAGCGGTCAGTTTAAGGCGAGAGCGGCGTATGCGAGTGTAATACAAAATTTTATTCAATTTTGACAACCCCAAGTCCCAAATTGTGAAAAAATTGGTGATTCAAAGTTCACATTCGAGAAACGTCAGAATTGACAGCGACCAAATAAAAGTTTTATATGCGTAGAATTTAGTGTACAGTATCAGGTGTGTGTGTGTAATATGTGACTCTGGCGACGGTGTTTGTTTATTTTAAACAAACTAAAATTATCGAAAAATTGCAAAATCATGCAAGATTCTAACGACAAAACTTGCTCCCAGAAAAGACCAGATCAGAAAGTGTATCAAAAGTTCTTTAGATGGAAAGAGCAGCAAGACCATAGAATACAGCAAGACACTGGAGAAATTACAGAAATGGTAACCATGGTTTTAAAACAGCAAAATAAAAATTTTTTTTCACTAGCAGCCTGGACGCATGCAAATGTCAACTCATTTAGTGGTAGCAAATTCAACTTTTGCTACCACGGGTTCAAAAAGAAAAATTGAGGTTATGTACGCAATGTTTGATGTGATTATTTCTTAAAAAATGAACAAATGTGTGCTACAAATATTACTTGAGTATACGCATGGTAGTTGGTAGACGGTAGAAGATAAAATGATTAACTCAGCGACAAGTATAAACGATTTTCTTTGTGTTGAAGATTTAGATCAAGTTTGATTAGAAATCAAAACAAAATCACGTTGCGTCAAAAAATTTAACGTTTATTTTTCAGTTTATTGTCTTATGGTTTCTACTAGTGAAAAAAATAGTATATTAACCACGGTTGCAAAGCCACTTCTAGACCTCGCACTTAGAGCCCTCGACGCTGCGCGTCTCGGGTTCTAATTTGCGCTCGGTCTAGAATGCTTGGCTCTGCAACCTTGGCTAATAATATACTATATTTCGCTAGCGGTTTAAAAATTTTATGGTGCTACCGGATAAACCAAAGTTTTAGTGGCCTACTGACGGCAAAAAAAACGTTTGTTTACATGTCAAAATTGAATAAAAAAATTTAATGGTTTTGTGAAAATAAAAGTGTCAAACCCAAAAGCCTATGGTTTATCTATAGTACGTTAAAAAAAAACACTTCTCGTGAGAGTAAACACCAATATTTCCAAATGTATTAAATTAGTTGGATTCTTGAAGCAATGAACCATTGGATATAAAACCAAGAAAGTCGAAAATTTGTCAGGAAATCAAGTTTTAAAATGTCTTAAAGAATCTGACTAATCACTACCCAGTTAGTTATATTTTTAATCAGTTTACTCTAGACCTTGACATTATTCTAGATTGCTTTGCTGCTTGTCTGGGGCTTGTCGAAATGAAATTTATTAGCTAATAAGCTAAGAAAATAATCTTGAAGGAAAAAAGTCAAAATTTCCGACACCAAAACTCACATGACAAGAACTTTTCACTGGTTAGCGATAATAAAGTGGCCGTTTGTCCCAAATAATTGCTACTGATTTAATTTTAGATAATCCTAATTTATTTACACACCATTACCTCCGCGGGCCTTCGGTGACATTGTTAGCTGACACAAGTGCGGACTGCTCCAAATAAAAAGACATGGTGGCTGGAAGTCATCAAAAGTGACCAAAAGTTATGCTGATGACCTTCTAGGCAACAACATAGAATCGGCGACACGAATATTAACATCATTTTTTATTTCTATTTGCAATAAAACAGTTGGATTTGATAAAAGTGAAGACTCGTGTCCTGTTGATTCACCACAAAAATCTAGTAGTACCAGAAACACTGTGTCAATTCTGGGTCAGCAAGGACTAACAATATAAAACTGTTCAAAATTTACTACAAATATGTATAAATAAAATATTGTAATCAAATGTTCTATTCAGTTCTTTCTCATGACGTTTCACTGCAAGAAGATCTGCGTCGAAATCTGCTACCAAGAAGGCAGAACAGCTCCTGAAGTAATGTCCAGTATATTCCCCTGAAGCAGCAACTTAAAAAGTAGCAATATATCAGAAGGTAAACTGAGTCTGAATCGCACATTTTGGTTTCGGAATTTGCAAAATTAACACAAATTGTCACAGCGAAAAACTCAAATAACTCCTTATAACATAAATAACTACTTATATTGTCTCTCAAATATTTCGAAATTTACTAATTGATAAATGTTTAGAGGACGGTGTTTCGCAAAATTCCTGAAATAGTGGTCGTCTAAATGTCCTTCCACACAAATTTACTGATAACATAAAAAATTGTAGCTTAACTCATGATTAAAAGGAGAAAGGTATACAACTGTAGTGTTTTATTAAATTCCCTATTTAATTTTGCAAAGACAAAACACATATTGACAAACATCATGAAGTGGCTACATTAATAGAATGAGTAAAAGCGAAAAGCTTGTTGTTATCAGATCATCAATCACAAATAAACATAATTTTGCTATTATCATTTCGTAAAGTATCGGCGTTTTTTACGAAAATGCATGTTACTACAATCAGTTTTTGATGACAGTTTAAAAAACAAGTACTATAAAACTGCTCGTAATCTACGACATTTTTTAAACGTGTGAACAAATTTGTGGACTGAAATCATGAAACTAGCGACCCTTGTCTCTTTGGTGGTAAGTCATCACTTTAATCTATATCTATAATATATATAATATTTGTAACTTTGTGGTAGATTCTTTATGTGACATTTATTTGTTCCAGCTTTTGGCTTACTGCATTGCAGAAAATCCAGTAGACTATCGTATACCTTTGTCTACCTCATGCACACCCAGGGAATGTACTAGTCCTGGACCTCTCTGTGAAACATGTACCAGTTTGGTAGGATGTGTTGATATAGGGAATGGTACTTACAACAAAACCCAACTGGGAAATTGTAAACCTCCATCATATTGTGTCGTCGATGTCTGTGATAGCAACCCTGACCCTTTTTGTTCTGGAGTTACTGAACTGCCATTTGAGTGTCATCAAGTGGGAGTTTTTCCGCACCAGTTCTACCACAACAAATTTGTTTATTGTTATAAAGATGGGGCAAATTTCAAAAGTATATTGAATGAGTGTGAAGATGGTTATACCTTCAATGTAGCTAATGATTTATGTAGCGAACATGCGGAAAATGCAGAATGTCCACATGCCCCTTATCCAGTACCGCTATGTAACCGTACTGCGCAATCTGGAGCTATCGAAAAGAAACCAGCCATGTACTATATTTGCAAAGAACGAGTTGTAAACAGTAGTAAAACTTTTTTGTATCCAGACTTATATCTATGTCCTGGAGCGGAGACGTATGTGGATTTTACATGTAGTTAGCTAAAATGTATTTATTATTATGAACATCTATTTTGAAAAATAAAACATTTGACCCATTTGTTTTTACTTTTTACCACAAGATCGTAATACAAACCATGACCTGTGGTTATCAAAGTGAGGATTTTTATAACGTTGTGTAATAAAGTACCGGGAAGAGTCCACAGACGCAAGTAGCGGAACAGCTAGGAGACTAGAGAAAGCGTAAATGTAAACAAAAATTACCGGACGAGGAGATAACATTACAAACAAAATTAAACATTGCCCTTCCACTCATTAGCAAAATTTCACCAAGTTAAAAACATAAACTCGTGGGTTGTTCATATGCTTAAATTTGGCGCTTAACTTCACAACAATCTGAAAGACCTTGAACCGTCAAGGTCAACAAAACCATAAAACTCAGATGAAAGTACCGATCGAAGTATGACGTTATTGGTATTACGTCTGCTCTGTATCAGAGCTATGAACAATTTATTTACACACTCGCGGCGCCACAAAAATATCTTGCTGTCTGTATCATCTGTTAACATGATCTGACAAATTTGATCTTAGATTTAATCATATCTAATTTAATTTAGATTAACTTTTTGTACTTACAATTTTTGCAATTTTTTACTTTTCGAACGTAAGCTAAAGAAATATTGTAATTGTCGATCGAGTGATTGGCTATTTTATGTTTTCTCGAAGTTTCAAGACGCCCTGAGTACGAAGAAATAGGTCTCCCGTTTCCGTCTGTCTGTTCGTCTGCCCGTCTGTCTGTCTGCCGTCCTGGATTTTTATTGGACAGATAATCTCTGAAAGTAATGGACCGATTGTTGTCGAATTTTGTATTTAAATACATTAGGAATATCATGTAGATGGTAAAACGCTAACCAAAATTTGTCTAATTATCGCCACCAATAATGTGATGACGTCACTTCAAAATTGTACATAGTAAATGGGTTTTAAATTGTATAAAATAACATAGTCGCACACATGTAGTTTATGACTCCGTGTTGAGTTTTTACCCAAAACGTCCGGATTTTTGGAAAAAATCAAAATTATGAAACAACATTTTACAATTTAGTTTCTGAATCTGAACTGAATGCTTTGAAATACTACAGATATTTTAAACTTATGGTAAGCATAATACATTTTTTATCAAAGTATATTTGCTTATCCACTCTAAAAAATTGATGACGTCATCTCAAAATTTTGCCGGATAAATCCTATCTAAATTTTAAACTTGCTTAAACAGGGTGACTCAAAAAAATTAATGAATGCGTGAATTTATTTTATTTATTTAATCAGGAACTGCAAAACCGAATCCTTTGCAATCTTGGAGATGTTTTAAAGTTATCATAAGCATGATAAATTTTTGATTAAAATGTATTTGCTCATCCTCCCTAAAAATTGATGACGTCACCTCAAAATATTGCTGAATATATCTTATCTTAAATATGTAAAATATGATGAGGCTATACTAGTGATTTATTTTTAATAAATAATTAATATTTTTTAAATTTGCTTATACAAAGTGTCTCAGAAAAATTAATGACTGAGTTGTTAAATTCCAATCAGATTTAGGAATTTAACTCGTTACTATTGAACTACGCAATTTAACACCTTCTAAATTTAACAAGTTTTTACAAGTTGAATAGGGGCAAAATCAGTCTTATGTGAGCAAGCACTAGCCCCGCCCACCCGCCTCTATTTTTTCATAGGATATGTCATTTGCCAAAATAAGACTTATCTTAGCAACTACTAGCAAATACTGCCCGCTGAGAAAATAAAAAGCGGGTGGGCGGAGCTAGTACTTGCTAACATAAGTCTTATTTTGGCAAATGACACATCCTCTGAGAAAATAGGAGGCAGGTGGGTGGGGTTAGTACTTGCTAAGATAAGACTTATTTCGGCAAATGACATATCATCTGGGAAAATAGGGGAGGGGTGGGTGGCCCTAGTATTTGCTAAAGTAAAACTGATTTTGCCCCTATTAATCTTGTAAAAACTTGTGAAGTGGATTAATAAAACACATGCGTTTTTCGCTACATTTTCTTTTATCAAAAAAGCAACGCCAACTTGATGACTTTTTCAGTTGAACATTCGCGGTCTCTATGATTATTAATAATTATTATTAGTGGTAGAAAAAAATCCGAAACTAAGGTTGTATGGTTCTTTCAGTAGCATACAAGTAAATTAAACTGATTTTAGACTGTACAGAGTATTTTGTTTTTGAGACATAGCACAATATTTTGTTTTTAATACAGCACGTTGTATATTTTTGCATACGCTTATTGGTCTCGTTACCAGCTTTATAACTATATATACAGCGTGTTATTGAAAGGTACATACAAAATAAAATCGGCAATTGGTCTCGAAGTATGGGTGCTACAAATTAAAAAAAAATCAGGTAAACGTGTTCTCCTTTTTGAGATAAAAATTATCAAAATTTATGTCGAAATTCGTTGTACGCCTCTGATAAAAAGATCATCTTTCGTTTCTGTAGCAACATTTATTCTTAACAAAAGTTTTATTGTTCCAGTTGCTCGGATTTACTTAAATAAATTAATTTTACATATTTATCTTTCAGTAGCGTCTAAAAAGGTTGGATAAGGATTAATTTTCCCCTTATAATTTTGATAACACAAAATGTCCATTTTGTTGTACGTACCTTTCAATAACACCCTGTATAGTTTATTTTTGGTGAAATTCCTATGCGATGTTGCCACCTAATTCCAATTTTCTTGAATTTCTTTAGCAATGCAGGGGTTCATAAAAAATCACAATATGATACGCGTTTTGTTGTGGTATCAACAATTAAATTAAATTTTATTGTACAGAGTGTTGATAAAAAATTCTAAAACACTAAATTTTCTAATACCGATATTTTAATCTTTTTTCAAATAGAAAACCCTGCATTTTACTTTTTCTTAGTTTATTTTTTGCTCTCTTTCGGTGTGTTTCTTAAAAAAAGTGAAAAATTGCAGAAATGATCTACAATATAAATACACAAAAATTAAAGAGAAAATAAATTGAGTAAGATAAAGGAATAAAATATAGGTTGTTCTATTACAGTTTTTTATATACACACGCTGTATATTAAGGCTTTAGTTAATTCACACCACAACAAAAAACACATCCTTGTTTATCTTTTCACAAAATATTGTAATACATAATTATGTATTTAATAAATAGCAATTTTTTCTGAACGTTTACATTTCTAAAAATATTGGTCTAAAGAGTTTAGACAGTACTTCCCTCGCTTTCAGAATCGTGTCTTTATGTCCATCATAGATTCTTCTCATTAGAGTTCTGTGACGAGATATTTTAATAAATTCGCTTTCACTCTGGAAGTCACGGCTCGTTTGTAATTTGATCAATAATAACTTGACTGAATCATAAATTTTTTTGAGTCATCCTGTATAAGCAGATCTAAAAAATATGAATGCAATGATAAATTACAAGTATAGTCTGATCATATTTTGCATATTTTCGAAAGGATTTATTCGGCAAAATTTTGAAATGACGTAATCAATTTTTTGGGGTTGATAAACAGATACATTTTTATTAAAATGTTTCCATGCTTGCAATAACTTCAAAACGTGTACAAGATTTAAAAATATTCAGTTTTGCAAATCTCGATTTAATAAATAAAATAATTTGACTCAGTCATTAATTATTTTGAGACTCCCCCTATAAGCAAATCCAAAAAATTTTAATGGAATGATAAATCACAAATATTGTCTCATCATATTTTGTGCACTTTAGATAGGATTTATTCGGCAAACTTTTGAGGTAACGTCATCAAGTTTTTCGACTTTACATAACGTGGTTTTCTTTCAAAGTACTATAGTTTTTGTTTTTTTTTTTAGTTTAAGTGAATAGTTTTTTATTATAAACTAGTTCTTACACCATCTAAAAATATGTTATCATCCGTCATAGTCCGTCATAATTTGTCATCATTCGTTAAAATAAATACATAATATAGTAATAAATAAAAAAGATACTCCGTTATCATCAAAATAATATAATTATTCCGTCACCACCATGATCATCATCCGTCATAGCCCGTCATAATACGTTATAATCTGTCATTTCTATCAGCATCAACTGTCATGTTCATCATAATGCATCATAATCCGTTATCATCCCTCACAATAGATACACTTAGTAAATATTTCGTCATTATCGTCATCATTATTGGTCATAGTCCATTATAATTCGGCACAATACGTCATAGTCCGTCATAATCCGTCATAATAAAAAATTATATAAAATCAAAATAATATAAATATTTCGCAAGCTGTTGTCATCAGCCGTATAGCCCGTCATAATACGTTATAATACGTCATATTTATTATTATTTTCTCCGCCATAGTCTGTCATAATCTGTCATAATAAATAATAATATTAATAGATAATAATAAATAGATAGGAAATAATCCGTCATCATCATTACCTATCATAATTCCTCATCACCCGTCATTTTTATCATTTTCGTCTATCATAGTCCATCCTAATCTAAATTTCTTGTTGTCGATATAACTCTACACATGTTAAGAAAATAAGGCAAAATATGTTGTGAATTTCTTGTAAAGAAATAAGTATTTTGCAGTTAAGCTCCGCCCCCTTCGTTCAGGGCGAATTAAAAAAATCATCCCAATTGAGATAGGGCGGGTGGGCGGGCTTACATTTTGTCCCTTTGTTTTAATATGTATAGACTTATTTTCACAACATGAAACTTAAAACATGTTTAAAATGGAATATTTGTATAAGGAAAAATCGATTTTGCAATTAGGCTACGCCCCATTATTGCAAAATCCATATTTCCGCGCAAAAATGTGCCATCTTAACCGTGTTCTAAGTTTTTTGTTGTGAAAAGATGGCTCTGTATGTTAAGGAAAAAAGGCAAAATATAAGCCCCGCCCAATTCTGATGTTATTTTTATTCGTCGTAAACCGAGGAGCGGAGCTTAATTGTAAAATCCTTATTTTTCTACGAGAAATTACCATGTGTAATAAGTTCTTAACTGTTATAGAAAGAAAACTAAATGTATTAATTAAAAAAAAAAGCAAGAGAGAAGCCCCACTCATCCGTCCCGATCTCAATCCTGATGAATTTTTCATTCGTTGTCAGACCGAGGGGCGGAGCGCAATTGCAAAATTGATATTTCCCTATACAAATTTACCATTTTAAACATGTTTTAAGTTTCTTGTTGTGAAAAGATGACTACACATATATTAAGAAAAAAAGACAAAATATATATTTAAGATATATTCAGCAAAATTTTGGGGTAACGTTATAATTTTTTTAGGGGGGGATGAGCAAATACATTTTGATAAAAAATTTACCATGCTTATGGTAACTTTAAAACACCTTCAAGATTTCAAAAAATTCGGTTTTGTAGTTCCCGAGTAAATTAGTAAAATAAATTTACGCATTCATTAATTTTTTTGAGTCACCTGTATATGCAAATCCAAAAAATATGAATGGAGTGATAGATCACAAGTACAGACTCATCATATTTTGTACATTTTAGATAGGATTTATTCGGCAAACTTTTGAGCTCACGTCATCAAGTTTTTCGAGGGAATAACCAAATATATTTTGACTAAAGATTTATGATGCTCTTTATAGCTTTAAAACATCTGCAACATTTCAAAGCCTTCGGGTTAGCAGTTTCAAAATTAAATTGCACAATCTTGTTTTATAATTTTGATTTTTTTTCCAAAAATCTGGACGTTTCGGTAAAAACTCATGTGTAGGACTATGTTATCTCATACAATTTAAAACCCATTTACTATGTACTATTTTGAAGTGACGTCATCGCATTAGTGGTGGGGATGATTAGAGACATTTTGATTAGCCTTTTACCATCTACATGATATTCCTAATATAAATACAAAATTTGCCAACAATCGACCCAATACTTTCGGAGATTATCTGTCTAATAAGACGGACAGACAGATGGAAACGGGGGACCTATTTCTTCTCTAGAAGTCATGATAGATCGAGAAAATGCAAAAGTAGAAAGTCGGCCGACGGACTCGATTACAATACTTCCTTTGCTTACGCTCGGGAAGTAAAAAGAGTGTTCTATTTATAAAAGTAAATTGTGTTATCCCTTAAAAGTAGAATATTCTGTATAACTGAAATTAATTTTAATGTATGCTACCTAAAAACCATACAGTTTTAGTTAACTTTTTCTTTATTTTCAATAATTTTAATAAGATGTCGAAGAAACGCACGCTTATAGTTACTCACTGTGCATATTAAATAGAGAATGCCGTTGAACATTGACATTAACCTAACCTGACCTGACCAGACCTGACCTGACCTGACCTGACCTACTTGACCATTTAACTTAAAATATATTCATGCACATCTGATTCATAGAACCTATGCTCCTTTTAGGTAAACAATATGAAAGAAGGTCAGGGATGAAAAAATTATCATTATCATAATCCTAAGAGGTGTAACCACTTATGTCTTCTAGTGTAATCATTTTTTCGTAATGGTGATCGATTTTATTTTTACCTTGACACACATGTTGTAACATGTTATCAGTAATTTTATCTTTCCTGAACATCACTATTGTTGTGAAAATAATTATTGAGAAACCGCCAAAAAAATGAAGGATTGTTGTAGTACCTACTTTTAAAAATAGAAAAACATTTTAAGCTTTTGAAAATTAAGTGTTTTATTTACTCGTATCTTCATATCAATAATAAAGTTATTGCATGTTTTCTTTTCCAAAGATAATTACGTATTACGTGTCGTAAAAATAAAAAAAAAGTTACTTTAAAAATTTTTTACTGATAAGTTTGTATTGCATCCACCGTAGAACAACTTAAAAGTAACGCTTGATATCGGGATAGAACTAAAAATTATTGCTCCTTCGTTTTTGTTATGTTTTCCCTTTTTTAACGCATGAAATAGGTAACCTTAAAAATAAACAAGTAACCTTACTCTGATTTTCTTTAATGTAACATTTATATATCTATCATATTTACAATATATATCTTCCTTTGTAGTTTTGATTCAGTTTCATCTATACAACAGGATGATCAAAGAAGAGTAGTCAATTTGTACCTCTTTCTGTTTCCGTCGCCCGCGATATGTCTGTTGTTATTGAAATTTTCCGATACAAAGTGGCATTTATAACTTATTGTGACCTTCATTCGAGCGCAAAATCCCTTTCATTGAGACTACTTCTCTTTGAACATCCTATACAACATCAAATAGCAACTTCATGTTATAATATATAATTTGACTCAGTAAACTTATTCAGTACTTTCTTCTTCATCTATAATGGCACTTCTATCCCCGTTTGAAGATTTCCTTCTAGTAAAAGCCCCTTTAAACATGGTTTTAGTCGTAGAACCCCATTTTTCTTTCACGGCTTCCGACGAGGTCATCAGAATTGAATACGAAGAATTGCCTTCACCTTCTTTGCTGTGGTGTATTCCATACAAAAAGTACACCAACATGCCTACAAAACATACAATATAAAATCCCTCCAGTAGTGTCAACAAATATACTAACCCAAAATCATCCAAACGAAGAATCTCAACCAAGTTAAAATATTCAAGTGTACCATAAACTCGATGTTACATAAAATACTTAAAGCTGGGATAAATGGTACCATCGGTACTTTGAATCTTAAACCAGCTGAGTTTTGGTGGTGTGCTACGATAACCACCAACGCCGAAATCATTATGAAAATGAAGAAAATCGCCAAAATGATCGTCCACCAAATTCCGTTTTCCAGATCGTTGCTCGAGACTTGGAAAAGGATACAAAGTGCCGCACTGAAAGTGGTAAAAACAAAGACACAAACTGTTACAACTGAGCCAGGTTCACAGTTTCCGAAAATTGGTCCTAGCCAGCTGTACTGGACGCGGAGAGTACCTACTAGACACACGATTTCTGAGCCCGGGGTGGTTAATTCTGAAGTAGAAGCAGAAACTTCTGATGCTGGAGTAGAGGCAGGTTTGGCTATAGGTTCAAAGGTTGGTCGATAGCGTAAGATTATCACACAAGCACTGACTATAGTGTATGCTAGCAAAGTACCGATGGACATAAATTCAACTAATTTTTCCAAGTCAAACAATAAGGCTATCACGGCTGAGCATAGGCCAGAAATTACTAGATTGGTTAGAGGTAGTTGCGTTTTCGTGTTGATGTTGCCCAAGAAGCTGAAGAGGAGTCCATCGACGGCCATCGCGTACATGCAACGGGGCAAAGAGAAAAGAGAACCGAAGAGAGTGGTTGTCATGCCACAGATAGCCCCTAGAGATACGACGTACTTCACCCAGTGCATTCCTACATGACTAAAAGCTTCCGGAAGGGCTGCATTAGGGTTAATATCGTAGTATGGTACTAACAGGGTTAAAGCCGCTGAAACCAAAATGTACCCTAAAGTGACGATTCCCATCGACAAGACCGTCGCCATGGGTATAGAGAACGAAGGATTTTTAGCTTCTTCTCCAGATGTTGCGATACTGTCAAACCCCACGAAGGCGTAGAAACAAGTCGCTGCTCCTGCAATCACTCCTCCTACTCCATATGGAAGGAATCCTCCTTTGAGGCTGGTCCAGTTTTGTTCGTCAGCGTAATATAACCCAACTGTTACGACTAAACCCATTACTCCCAAGTTGATGATGGTTAGGAGGCTGTTGACCATTGTTGAGCCTTTGACGCCGATTCCCAAGAGGAGAGCGTAGACGATGCATACAGTGAAGGCAAGGAAATCTGGGTAGCGACCAAGGAGTTGCTCGTGAAGCTCGCCTGTTAAGGAGATGGTGGTGTTGCTGATGACTCCTCCAAAGAGGGAGTCGACGTAGCCACTCCATGCCCGTGCCACGGAGGCAGCGCCTATCATGTGCTCGAGGAGGATGTTCCAGCCGATTACGAAGGCCCAAAATTCTCCTGAAATAGAAAATAGAAAATGTTTGGTCAAGATCTTGTTTTTATCGTTACATAAATTACTGACAAGTTTAAAAAAATATGTAGTGTTTTTCCATTTATGCTCCGTTCTGAGAAAGGATCCGTTTTAGAAGTGACACAAAAATTATGGAAAAGTTTCAGTGTCCTTGGGTTACAATTTTTAAATCTTTTTGCCACCTCAAACGGTCTTATTAGTTTGAATAGAATTATTTTACAGAATGTTAAGAATTTCAAGTCAAGACCAAAAATGGTCCCGGATGTTATGTACAAAATTTTTAGGCGCCAATGGTATTTTAGTGTTCGTAAAAACTAATGGTATTTGTGGTTGATTTTTTTGTTAAGCAGCCGGATCATATTAGTGAAACCGCTTATCCTTCCAAGAAATATTTATAATATAAAGTAAGTTTAAAAAAAATCGGGAGATTGAAAACTGGTATCTGTAAAAAAGTGTGGAAAAAAACTGAACAGGTAGTTTTAGCATACGAAAAAGGAATACATTGAGCCTATTACTCGATGCTTGAAATGACTTCTGAGATGAGTAAAAAATTAAATTTTCTAAAGTGTACGGTTTGTATCTATATGTATATTGAAATATAATTGGTCTAAACTTATTTAGACAGAACTTGCCCCCCCCTAAAATATATTCGAATAAATACAGCTTCTTCGAAAAATAACAGTACGACGCCTATGGGCCGTCCAGAGCTTTCTAGAATGTGCGATGATGATGGGTGACTCATCGTCAGTGACGGCGGCCGGGTGGTGTTCCATAAAGACAAGTCTGGGCCGGGTTACCGGAAGTCTCGATTGCTGGGTCCAGAAAAACCTCGAAGCGGCGTTCTCGATCCATCCAGAGGAACGTATAGGTTTAAATAGAGGCCGCCGTCGGAAACGATTATTATTTAGTCGAGTCGAGTCCAGCGAATGTTGAGAGAAGCAAGCCAAGTCGCGTCGGAATTATTTTGTGCATAATCGCTGTGTAATTAGACGTGTAAATTTGAGTTACTAAGACTGGCTCCTCAAACAGCGCCCAGACTAAAAATACAACTTTAAGAAAGTGAAAGTTTAAATAAACATAACAATATTATATCTCTAAAGAATATCTAATTTATAATGCTAGATAACTCAGTGAGAAACTTGTAACTTATTGTAAATGTGGTGTGAATTTGTGCAATTAATTTTTTGATAATTTCATTCATTTAATTTATTCTGTCTGCTATATTTAGCATTTTATTGTGTATTTTCATTACATTTAAGCGTATTTTAAAGTAATTTAGTTTTCGAATCACCTGTAAATTATTGATTCATTTATTAAAGTTCAGCAATTTTTCGAGTGTTAAAAAACACAGACCTGTGTAATCAACGAGAAATAGATACACATATTATCAGTACATGTTTAATTTCGATTGCTTGTGTGAATCATTTTTGGTTAGTGTTTTACCATCTACACGAGATTCATAATATACATACAAAATTTGACAACTATTGGTCCAGTAGTTTAGTAGCTTCGAAGATTATCTGTTTAATAAATATTGACACAGACGGCAGACAGACAGATAGAAACGAGATACCTATTTTTCGTATCTTAGGGGTCATGAAACGTCGAGAAAACATGAAAGTAGCCAGGCGCCCAACCCTATTACAATTCTTCCTTAGCTTACGCTAGGAAAGTAAAACATAATACTGGGTTCTCGGAACTTTGGAAAACATATTAGTGAAAAGCAAACACCGGTGCATCCTGAAGCACATTATTTAACCTACATTTATTTAATAAATTAAAACAAATAAATTTAAATCTTTTTTTGTAATCATAAAACCTCAAAAAGTATATTTATGCAGATTCTAAGACGCACTACAAAGTTTGTCGCATACGTACAATTTTATTAAAAATATGGATACATAACTAAGTCACAAATAAAGATCTATGCCACTCTAAATCAACAATTTCGGAACAATTTGCCCAGTAATTTTGGAAATTACTTTTCTAATAAAAACGCCAACAGACGGCAGATGGAAACGGGAGAACTACTCTTAAGTATTTTAGAAGCTATGAAACACTGAGAGAACATGAAATTAGGCGTTTCTTGGATGGACATTATGACAACACTTGCTTAGTTTACGCTGTGAAAATAAAAATGAGAGAAATAAACAATACAACTACGAAAAAGTGGCTGCTTTCATGTTTTCTCGACGTTTCGTGACCCCTAGGATACGAAAAATAGGCCTCCTGTTTCTGTCTGTCTGTCCGTCTGTTTGTTTGTCATCTGTCGTCTGTGTCGATTTTTATTAGGCAGATAATCGCCGAAACTACTGGACCGACTGTTGCCAAATATTATATGTATGTTAGAAATATAGTGTAAATGGTAAAACGCTAACCAAAATTTGTCAAATCATCCCCACCAGCAAAATTTACTATAATAAATATTGTTATTTAAATTTGATAAAAGAAATACTCCTGCACTTGTAGTTTATGAATTCGTGCTGAATTTTTACCATAGACAATCAAATTTTTGCGAGAAAAAACAAAATTTAATAACATTTTACATTTCCACTTTGAGATCGCAAGACCGAATGATCTGAATATCAAAAGTTATTCGTTTAAGCCTCCACAAAAAATGATGAAGCCGTCTTACAATTTTGTCGAATAAATTCTTCTTCAAATTTATAAGTATCTACGCAAGACATACAATCTTTTGGAAGAAAAGAAAGAGTGTGCTGAATTATTTTTCCCGATTTTTTTGTTGGAAAATAGATACAATAAAAAGGATCTTGTGTCGTAGAAGCCTCTAGAAAGTTATTTTTACTGTATCTTGTTTCCAACAAAAAGCTGAAAACGGTGTTGAAAACCGGGTTCCATAAATAATTATTGATTTTTAAAGATACGTGACGCAAAATTTCACATACTTATTTAAAATTTCACTATAATAACTCTGTTAATAATAAAGACATCACATTTTGAAATTCAAGTGGCAACGTAGGAACTAGCTTTAATCTCCCCCCTTACCTCTGTGTTAAGAAGACAAAATCAATCAATTTTCATTTTCTTTTAATACAAATGCCGCTGCTGATGCTTGTTATTTGAACATTCTAATAATCGATTTCTTTCGAAGTATAAATATAAACATCTGAAGTTAACCACGTATTGAAAAACTGAGAGTATATTTTCCCTTGTATATGCGCCCTTGAAATTTACGCGCCTGTGGTTTTTATTTCATAGAGGTTATTAAAAAACAAAAATCGCGAAATCAAATTTTACAAGCGGAATTTTTTTTATACTCAAGTAAAGTAAATAAAAATTAATAGTAAAATATAGTATAATTTTTTGTCAAGTATCCAGATAATTGCTTTAGTAATAAATTTAATTACAGCAGAGTATTAACATTGTTATTAAACTAGTATCACTAATTAAGGCTATTTTTTGTAGAATGCATTTATGCTTACTGGATGGGGCATAAAAAAATTCCATCCGTGTATTGTATTAATTGAGGGACATTTTCACGAGTTATTCTAACATGGTATGACGTATAATCGACAATTTGGCAGGTTTATTAAATATGGTAGTAATTAATGAGCTATATTCAGTATTTTGCCAAAATTTGTTATGATGTTCAGTTCAAGTGTGTACAGCGCTTATCGCGTGTTGTTAGCTTTACACTTGCAGGGAATCTATTTTTATTTTTGTACTTTATTCATAATCCTTTATTATTTTCACATTCATGGGGTTGTTTTCTTTTTTAAATTATTTACTTAATATATTTTTATGTTGCTATATGATTGAAAATGTTTTGATTTAGAGTTGGCTGTAACTGATTGCTTCTGTTGGTATCACTGAGTTAGTTTGCAAAAATGCAATAACAGTAATAACTAATAACATTTCAACGAGTATGACTGTAATTTAATAAGGACTAAAGAAGAACTTAACAGTGACACATAAGCTTCTTAAACGACAAAGATTGTAACATATTAAACTTTGATTACAAATTGCAACTTCATTCTAATTATTACTTCACTTTTTTGGGCTGCTCTCCTACGAACATTAATTAATTAATTAATTACTAGAATATACTATACGATATGCTTGAACAAATATAATTTAGTTTAATCCAAATGAATATATTTGGGCTGTGAAATAAATTTACCAAATTTGAAATTAAACTGTCGGTGTTACGCGTGCCGACATGTCGACAATGACCCATAATGAAGGTAAAACCGAAAATTATGCAAATTTTTATCTTTACGGCGTGGCTCCTCAAACAGCGCCCAGACTAAAAATACAACTTTAAGAAAGTGAAAGTTTAAATAAACATAAAATGTTAAAATCGAATGTCATGCAAATGCTTGTCGTTGAACCCCCAAAGTAAACAAAATTGTTGATTTTTCACGTTCATCATGTACTCCAAACGTCGCCAAAACAGACGACATCTTCTTGTTAAATTTATATTTATGACCACCAAAAGAATGCAACATAAAAAAATATTCGACCGATGAAGAATATACTGGCAGATTAACCCGAATAAATTTATCGGCACTAAAGCACAAATTATAGCCATCGTTAAAATGATTATTGCCCTAATTAATATCGCTAGCATGTTGCGCGACTTTTTTGACCATTCAGTATAAATAAATTAATCGCAGGTATTTCGAAGATGTGTAGAACAAGGTTCAAAACGGTTTATTTGCACATACCTATGCTGATGTATGTGTAGACGTATGCAGAGCCGGCTTTAGGGACGCGCGTCCCGAATTCCGCATAACATAAAGCCGACAGCAGACAGGCTAAACCTGCCAGCAGGAAAGAGAGGATTATTCCAGGACCGGCAAGATCCTTCGCTACGGTTCCTGTGAGGACGTAGATGCCCGCTCCTACCATATGGCCAACCCCTGGAATTGCATCACGTAAGGGTTAAAAATAGAGGCGCAGGCTGGATCGGTACCTAGTAAAGTTATATCGAAAGTATTAAGACATCTATTTAACGGGGTTTCCATTATATCCGAGGGTAACTGTTTGGTTCGGTTCATTTTTGAACATATTCCGGACATTACGTGTTTGAGGATCATTTTTCTCGATCCGGGCATCGCACTGTACAGGGTCTGAAAAAAGAAGTGAGTTTTAAGTGGGGTTGTTTATTTTTTGGCTTACCTAAGTTGTGAAATTCAGGATCGATTTTGTGCAATTTTTCTGTGCAATATGGTTGGGAACTGGTGGAAATTTTGGGGTTGGTGAGAAAACAGAGAAATGCGCACGTTTCTCCGGAATCGATTGCTGAGGATCAGCGAGTTAGTAAAAATAGATTGCGTGCTTCGGTGACGTTATTGTAATACGCATTTAGGAGTATTCTCGGGCGAAGTACTAGAAGTTTTTTATTTCGTTTTGTTTTGGGGATAAATCGTCACCGTGTGACAAGTTGGCAAAGACGTTTTTATTAATATGTTTTATTTTTTGGTCAATAATAAAAATGTAGTAAAGGTGTAATTTTTAGTTTCGTATGATGTTCATGTTTAAATTATAAAGTTTTTATTATTTTTCTTGAAATCGAGGGTTTATTACTTTACCAAAATAACCCTTCGTTGCCTTCGTTACGTAACAGTTGAAGATGAGTGTTTCGGGTGCTTCAAATTTTATTTCCCAGGAATAATCCATTGTAGCTATTTCTCGTCATGAAGTAAAAGCTGCATCTAATTATAAGTTGTGAAAAAAAAATAAGTATAAAAATCAAATGGAATACTATTTTTAAAGTTTACCAACTCTTAGATATCGCACAAAGTGGTTATATATCTTTTAAAAATTAAAATTTTACTAAACTATTTTTTTTCCTTCCAGAAACCAACCTTTAATTTGAGCTTTCTTAATTTTTTTGTAGCTTCTTATGTATGCTTTACTTTTTGTGTTTTATTTTCATTTTTTGGCGTCCAAATTTGCAAGAAATATTGCCGAAAGAATCTTGTGTTTCTTTTTTTATCGATTGAAGGCACTTTATGTTTATTTGTCGACGGATTTTCTTGTGACTGTCCACTATTTATAATAATTTTTAGTTGTCTCGTTTTCGTTCTTATTCGAGGACTGATTTTCCCAAGTTTGACATCAAACTGTGTATGGATTTCATACAGTGTTCACTTTCTTCTAAGGACAAACGATAACGTAGATGTACTTCCTACAGCTTTTCTTTTTTGTAGAACTTTATGGAAGTAGAATAATTGGCTCTACCTTTTTTGTGGGAAAATTTACATGTAGTCTAAAAGACTTGAGTTAGTTCCGAATAAGCATTGATTATTATCTGTTTATCTTAGTCTGTCGTTCGGTGTTTCTCATTCGTAAACCTGATTTATTATCAATATCTGATTGGCTTTGTTCCGAATCACTGCGATATAATCGGGGTTATTCTAGAGCTGTCTTTAATGTAATTGTTTTATTTCTTGTAATAATTGTTATAAAACAAATGTCATATATGCGATTTTTTAGACTCGTGTTCACGTATTTATCATTCTATATTAATGTTTTGTGCATAGCTATTAAAAAGGTTGTTTCGACAGAACTTCCCTCGCCCGCGTAAAGACAGAGGACAGACAGACAGACGGAAATGGAAGATCCATTTTCAATCAGGAAATAATAACTGATAGCAAGAAAACTTTGAATATAGTACCGAGAGTGAAGTTTCTCAAAACGATTTTAGGTTTTTGCTTGTAGTAAATAAACCAACAGCTGCCTATAAAGAACAATATTTGCAGTCCACAGCAATAAAAAAATGTGCAGTATTTCATTTTCTAGATTAACCAAAAAATGTTTTTCAATTGAAGTAAAAAGTATTCGTTTCCCAAGGAAATTGCCAAATAAAAGATTTGAGAAAATTGGAAAATTGGAAAAATTAAGACTATATTTAAGTCAGGCAAGCTACTGATTATGGTACTGAAAAGGTTGTCAACATTATAATTAATGTTTCATCCGGATTTTTTGTTGGAAATTCTTATTTCATTTTTTTTCATGTTCTTTCCTAGCTTGGTTCCTCTGTTTAATTATTTTGTTTGTATTCTTTCTTGCTTTTATCCGATCTTGGGGAAAATGATCCTTGAATAAATAAAATTTCGTTGAATTCAGTATACAATAAATTAAAAATTTCAGCACGATATAAAAATTTTTGTGATGAATTTGTAAATTATTTACTATTAGGCATGGAATTACCCTTCTTTGGAGTGATTAAGCAAGGCAAGAATTTTCCCAGAATAGACGTTTCCCTTTCCTGAGATTACAGATTTAAACAAGAAAAACAGTCAACTAGAGGATGTACGAAGTCATATTTAGATAATAAAAATTGTGACTACACACTAGTTGGTTCGAACACAACGGGGCAAAGTAAAGTCAATGACAGATTTGGAAAAATTCAAATCATTTTCTGAGTGCATTTTTTTGCTGTGAAACCTATTCGGCTTATAAGTATTGTAATCGAGTCCGTCGGCCGACTCTCTACTTTTACGTTTTCTCGATCTTTCATGACCCCTAGAAGACGAAGAAATAGGTCTCCCATTTCCGTCTGTCTGTCCGTCTGTCCGTCTGTCTGTCCGTCTGTCCGTCTGTCCGTCTGTCCGTCTGTCCGTCTGTCCGTCTGTCCGTCTGTCCGTCTGTCCGTCTGTCCGTCTGCCGTCCCGGATTTTTATTAGACAGATAATCTCCGAAAGTACTCGACCGATTGTTGTCAAATTTTGTACTTATATTAAGAATATCATGTAGATGGTAAAACGCTAACCAAAATTTGTCTAATCATCCCCACCACTAATGCGATGACGTCACTTCAAAATTGTACATAGTAAATGGGTTTTCAATTGTATAAAATAACATAGTCCTACACATGTAGTTTACAACTCTGAATCGACTTTTCACCCGAAACGTCCAGATTTTTGGAAAAAAATCAAAATTATAAAACATTTTGAAATTTAATTTTTAATCTGCTAACCAGAATGCTTTGAAATGTTGCAGATGTTTTAAGGCTATAAAGAGCATCATAAATCTTTAGTCAAAAAATATTTGCTTATCCCCTCCAAAAACTTGATGACGTCAGCTCAAAAGTTTGTGGAATAAATCATATCTAAAATGTACAAAATATGATGAGTCTGTACTTGTGATCTATCACTCCATTCATATTTTTTGGATTTGCATATACAGGGTGACTCAAAAAAATTAATGAATGCGTAAATATATTTTATTGATTTAATCAGAAACTACAAAACCGAATGCTCTGAAATCTTGCAGATGTTTTAAGGTCATAAAGAGCATAATAAATGTTTAGTCAAAATATATTTGCTTATCCCCTCCAAAAACTTGATGACGTCAGCTCGAAAGCTTGTGGAATAAATCATATCTAAAATGTACAAAATATGATGAGCCTGTACTTGTCATTTATCACTCCATTCATATTTTTTGGATTTGCATATACAGAGTGACTCAAAAAAATTAATGAATGCGTAAATATATTTTATTGATTTAATCAGGAACTACAAAACGGAATGCTCTGACATCTTGCAGATGTTTTAAGGTTATAAAGAGCATAATAAATGTTTAGTCAAAATATATTTGCTTATCCCCTCCAAAAACTTGATGACGTCAGCTCGAAAATTTGCCGAATAAATCATATCTAAAATGTACAAAATATGATCAGTCTGTACTTGTGATCTATCACTCCATTCATATTTTTTGGATTTGCATATACAGGGTGATTCAAGAAAATAAATGAAAGCGTAAATTTATTTTACTGATTTACTCAGGAACTACAAAACCGAATGCTTCGAAATCTTGAAGATATTTTAAAATTATCATAAGCATGGTAAATTTTTGATCAAAACGTATTTGGTCGTCCCCCCTAAAAAATTTTAGATGTCACCACAAAATTTTGCTGAATAAATCCTATCTAAAATGTACAAAATATGGTGAGTCTCTTCTTGTGATTTATCATTCCATTCAAATTTTTTCGATTTGCATATACAGGGTGACTCAAAAAAATTAATGAATGCGTAAATTTTTTTTATTGATTTAATCAGGAACTACAAAACCGAATGCTTTGAAATCTTGCAGATATTTTAAGGTTATAAAGAGCATAATAGATTTTTAGTCAAAATATATTTGGTTATCTTCTACAAAAAACTGATGACGTCAGCTCAAAAGTTTGCCGAATAAATCGTATCTAAAATGTACAAAATATGATGAGTCTGTACTTGTGATTTATCATTCCATTCATATTTTTGGATTTGCATATGCAGGGTGACTCAAAAAAATTAATGAAGGCGTGAATTTATTTTATCGATTTAATCAGGAATTACAAAACCGAATGCTTTGAAATCTTGGGAATATTTTAAAGTTATTATAAGCATGGTAAACTTTTGTTCAAAATGTATTTGTTCATCCCTCCTAAAAAAATTGATGACGTCACCCTTAAATTTTCCTGAATAAATCCTATCTAAAATGCAAAAAATATGATGAGTTTGTACTTGTGATTTATCATTCCATTCATATTTTTTAGATTTTCTTAAAAGGTGGTTCAAAAAAATTAATGAAGTCAATTTATTTTATTGATTAAATTAAAGGCAACACTTATTATTAGTATTACACCCCAACCAACCCAATTTGGTAGACACAAAATTTGTTAAAGGAAAAACTCGGTTGAAACATAAGGGTAGCACGCTTATTTACATCGACTTTAACATTACAGACCTGCATTTGTTTTATGCGCTCACTTGGTTCCGCGAATGTGAAATAGACATGTTTATAATCAACCAATTGTGAATTTCACCGTCAAGAATTAAAATAAAACCCAATGTTTTATATAATAAGCGGAAGTCGAAGCAATAAAACCGATGGTCGTTTTGTTTACAGTTTCTCTGTTTGACTCTCACGTATGCTGTTACGCCTGTCATCTTAAATTAAGAATGTTTATACATACACGATTTTCAGTTGCCTCTGATACGTATACGTGAGTAAATTGTTTCGTTATTTTATTGATTATTACAAATCAATATTCAAAACGACCCAATTCATTTTCCCGAAAATTTGAGAATATAATAATTTTATTCTTAGTATTACACTACATCTATCCCAACTGATATACGTGTCCTTGCAAAAATGTTGATGACGTCATCGCATTTTTTTTTTAAATTCCCACTACAAAAACGTAATGAGAAAAAAAACACAATAGGCATGCAGTCGTCAAGTTTCCGACAGCGAGGGAAGTACTGTCTAAACTCTTTAGACCAATTTTTTTCTTAATATGTGTAATCATCTTTTGTAGCGAAATATCAATTTTGCAATTATGTTCCGCCCCTCGATCTGACAACGAATGAAAAATTGAGATCGGGACGGATGGGAGCTTCTTTTTTGGTTGGAAATTTGTCTTTTTATTTTTCATTTGAAATAAAATGCTTCTAGTTTATTTCAGACGCTTGCTGATTTCTCTTCTTAAAACCATTTTTGTACAAATATGAAAATTTTCTGTTTCTCTTCTTTTTACTTCCTGAGGTAAGCTAAGGAAAGTTTGTAGTAGGAAACATCTGTGCTGACATCACGTCAGAATTTTGAACAGTAAATCTTGTTTAAATTTTATAAAATAACAAACTCTTGTACTTGTAGTTTATGAATCCGACTTGAGTTTTTATCCCAGGCATCCAGATTTTCGCAAAAAATCAAAACTGTATGATAATAACGTTTTAGTCATTGATTTTTGAAGACTTGTCTTGTCAGATTACGGTCAATTTGAAAGTTTGAGTAGAAAATGCAACGACTGAAGACCACCTTTCAAAAATCCATGGCTGTTTTACCCAGTTCTTGAACCCTTTTAATTAATGGTCACACGTCAAATAGGTCTCTTCAGTGGTAATTGAAGTTGAAGATGATTTTGGATTAAGCTTAATAATACTATGTGTATTTTTTTGTTGCATGTTTTCCAACATGTCAAGAATTTTCCGACAATTATTTAGTGTGGCATGTGTAATTTGGGAAAATAGATTATTTTTGTTTTACATTTGTTTCATCGAGTCATGTTCAATTAAATGTCATTCTCTTAGGATATATGGGGTAGGTCTTTATGTAAATAAGTGTGCAACATACCTAATGTCAATGTATTCATGTGTTACACACCGACTTATTAATTTAATAGTGTTGCATTAAATTAATTAACAATTGTAAAAAATAGAAGCTCATGAGGGGATCGAATAGTGACCTTCACGTTATTAGCACGCGCTCTAACCAATTGAGTTAATGAGCTGTTCCTCCTATTTTTATAGTTGTTATACGTTTTTGATTATTATCTGAATGCTTGAAAAAAACTCAAAACAGAGTATGTTATTTCATAAAATTTAAACATTTACAATGCTAAATTTTGAGGTGACGTCATCAAATTGTTGGTGGGGATGATTGAACAAGTTTGGGTGCGTTTCACCATCTACACTACATGATACTCTTAAAATTCATGTAAAAATTTCTCAATAATTAATCGACCCACTGGTTTTTGATTTCTGTGTAATAAATATCGACACAGGCGACAGACGACAGGCAGGCAGATGGGGAATAAAATGACATCTTTTAAAAATGACAAACATTTTTAGCTAAAAAAATATTGAGAAGTGGGAATTCGTCATTTATCTGTTTTTTTTTAACACTGAACATAATTTATAAATCCATAGTTCTATAAACTATTCATTTTGTTAAATTCCACTCATTTTCTGTAAACAAAATCCTGAATTTTCCTTCGGGGTAAATGCAGTACAACTTAATTTATAACTTAAAGTTATACTTAGTTATAAAATATCAGTTCAAATACTGCAATAAAAGTTATTCTAAAATAACAATGCAAATTTGGTTGGAGTTAGCAAGCAAAAAAACGGTATCCGCTGTGTGAGTAAAAGGTGATTTTATTTCATAGTAGTTGGTGTCATAGGTACCAAGTTTTCTTGAATCATGCGTCAAAAAACAAGTGCTTATTATGTCATTACTAGGAATACCTATTTTATGACATTTTTGTTATAATCAAGCTCACAGATATGTAAGAAGTAAAGATCTAGCACTGCTTCAATGATTTAATAACCGCAAACTAATTAAGTATGGTCTGTACCTTGAAAACCTTCGATCATTTGAGATTAGTCATTTTGGTAAGTGATTTGCAGGATTTATCATTTTTGAGACCCTGAACATGAAATTCTTTAGTGTACTTGTGGGTACTTACTTTAGCTAAAAACAGCATAGTAGATTTTACTCTTCTTTCTTCAAATATTTCTTTTTTGCAACATATAATGTGATCCAAAATAAGGAATAACCATCGTCGACTTTCACATAATACTTGGCTACACGAAACTTACGAATTTACGAGCTTGTAAGCAATAATTCACGGCTTAATTTATCTTACTTTGTTCGCCGATAATAACGCGGTTAGATTAATTTTAGGTCTCTTACTTCATTCGCAGAAAATATCCAACAGGTTGCGGTTTATTATACACTTACATAAATATTTTTTATTTTGTCTACTTGAAACTCATATTATAATTTTTATTGACTTTGACACTGACAAATTCAAGTTTTTTTTTATCAGATTGCTGAAGGTATATAGTACGGTTTGGTGGAACTGGAAATAAATATACTCCCCACAAAAATTATCGCAACACCCTTAAAACTTTGCATATTTCCAATTTGAATATATGTAGAAATATTAAATAAGAGCATCTTTTTAATTTCAGAGCGTAAACTCAGTACGAAACAATAGGTCGCCCGTTTCCGTCTGTCGGTCTGTCTCTCTGTGTGTCTGTCTGTCCACCATCTGTCCGGATTTTTATTATACAGATAATTTCCGAAACTACTGAACCAGTTATTGAATTTTGTATGTGTATTAGGAATATCGTGTAGATCATCTCCAAACATTACAGTATTAAATATTATTTAAATTTTATAAAATAAGATACTCTCTCACATGTGGTTTATGAACCCCTGTTGAATTTATATACTAGACATGAGATTTTTTGAGAAAAAATCAAAATTACAACATCTTGCAATTTAACTTTGAAACGTCTTTGAAGTTTTGGAAACGTTTTAGGTTATCGTAAGCACGGGAAATCGTTAATCAAATTTTTTTTATTTATGCCCCTCTAAAACAATAATGACACGATTTTACAATTTTGCCGATTTAATTTATATTTACCAAATATAATTTTTGGTGATTCCAAAAGAATTGTTTATTATTTCAAATTCAATTCTCATCTGAATGACTCCGGTTGAAAGATTGGATTATCGGACGTTTTAAAAGAAAATTCTAAACTGAAATCAGTAGAAAGTAAAATGGTACGTTTCACCCCACTTTTTTTTTTTTCAACTATTTAAGCTTTTTTTACCTTTTTTTTAATCTATTTTAAGGTACTTTACCATGTTTTTAAGCAAACAGGACAATTTTGACGTTGAAGTTTTTTATTGCTTTTTTATAAAATAAAGAGTCAATTTTTGTGGTGAAATTTCTTTTAATGCACTTTTTTAACATTTCACCCCATTTTTAAGGTTATTTTTTAAAAAGTTGTGGATTTCTAAAGATTTTCACCATGATTCCCGCGGATCCATATAGAAATCGCTGACTTTGAGATTTAAAAAAAATGAAAAAAACAATTCAAGGTCAAAATTGTTAAAATTAAAAAACAAAATGTGATCATTTTACTTACTACTACTTTGTCGCTTTTTTTGATGTTGGATATTTAATTTTATAGAAATTCCTACTCCTGCACGTGTGATTCATGAATCCATGTCGAGTTTTCAACCTAGATATCCAAACTGACAAATCGTTAATAAAAATTTGTTCGTTTAAGGCCTTCCCAAAAAATTGTGACGTCATCTTAGAATTCTGCTGAACACCTGTTCTTTAAATTTTATAAAATAACATTTTTGAAAAAAAATCAACAAAATGTATAACAATATTGTACAATGTAATTTTGAAATTGTAAAACCGAATGTTGTGAAACGTGCAAATATTTTAAAATTATTTGAAACATGTTAAATCGTTGGTCAAAATTTGTCCGTCATATTACATTTTTTCCCGAATTTTTTCAAATTTATGAGTATTTTTTGGAAAAAACTGAATATGAATCAATCAATCAGTTCTTTCCTATGCGTTGAGGACAGAAAATCAACCAAATTTCATTTTCTTTTAATCACTGATGATTGTGCTAGTAGTTGAATTCGGTCGAAATATAAACCTAAAAAGTCGAAGTTAGCATAATATACTGAGAAATTGAAATTGTCTACATTTTTTCCCGTTAGTTATCTGTTTTAAATATACTGCCGGACAGAAAAAACCGAGACAAAACATAACTTCTTTATTCTAAAACATGTGGAAACAGAAAAAAGTAAAAACAATTATAAGACTAAACATTAGCATAAAGTTACAAATATTCAAGTGTCCGGGTTCTTTTGTCTGGCAGTGTATATTTGGGTCTCCAGTTGTGTTCAGTCGATGTTTATTTAATATTTTTCATTATTATTAAATTTAATAAAGCAATTTATGCATACTTTTTTAGTTAGATTTCAATTGCAAACTATCTAAAAAAGAAATTATTTAATATTAATTTTTTTTTAAATGGAAGTGATTCCATAATTTTGACTGTATTTGTATTTAACATAATATTAAAGGTAATGCTGATATGTTCCTAGAATTTCAGGAAAATTGGATGAGACACTTCAATGATAACAATCGATACAACATGTCAGTTCAAATACATTAATTTCTTGGAAATATCAGTTCTAAAAACTACAATAACCGCATTTCTTAACGTAGCTATTTTTGATCAAAAGTTACTTAATATTATTTTATTTGGGTGACATAATCAGTTTTTTTAAAGGGAAATAATGGTGTTTTACAAAAAATTCATAAATATTCGTTATATAGTCTTAAAAGTAAGTGGTATAGTAGTTCCGGGATTATTCCTTCAAAAAATACCAATAAACAGCCGAAATTCTCAAAAAGTGGCCTCATTTCCAAATTGAAACAATAAATTGTTGAACGTTTCTATGTCACAGTTATACAAACGAGATGATACAACTTGGGATTTTTGTGCCTTCTAATTTATGATGGTGTCAAAAGTGTGTTAAGAATATAGCTTGCTAACGGATAAATTGTTGATTATTTATTTTTGTGGTTTCCTAGTGATTAGTGGTCGAAGAAGAGCATCATTTTGGTGGCAATAAAGAAGCTAACATTCCATAAATTATTGGGATTTGCGGTTTTTAAATGAATAGCCGCTAGCAAGGTTGTCTTTTATTGTGGTCCATTGTATACCATCTAGTTTAATAAATTAAGATACTTATGTATCAAAGATGAAAATAGTGAAATTTAAATCGAATATATTTTGTCCTTTTTTTATTATTAATTTTATTTAACAAACAAATTTTACTAAAAAAACAAGTTATAGATAATCTCTCAGAGGAAGGTAATCCAGACTTGGCGAATTGTTAGCTATTACGTTTAATACGTTTTCCTACACTTTAGCATTTTCCATAAATTAAAATTAATAAATAGTAAACAACTAAACATATAATAGATTTTTCAGCTCGCTTAAAAATTCTCGGCACTATACTCTAATCGTCGCATGATGTTTTCATTAATTTATTACCTACATTCCGTAACAATTTATTTTTCAGGGCCAAATAAATTCATTCATGAATTACGTGAATAATCTCATTGTTTATAAATCGTAAATCTGTTATGACAACCACATCACACAAACAAGAATTATAAGTATTTAAATTGAGTAACGACAAAGCTTGGAATTTAGATGACTTATTATTTTCACAGGAATATGAAAATGCAAATTTTTATATAACGATTTTAATTAAAAGTTTTGAGGTCGTCATTATTTGAATAAAAGTACGTCTCTGATTGTTTTTTTTTATAAACAATGATATCCTGGTAAGGTCAGATCTCGGTCAGAAATTTCCTAGAAAAAAAACTTTTTAATTAAACTACGGTGATGAGCTGTTTCAGTTTTTTCCGACTATCCATTCACGGACATTTTAACATACAAATGTCAAGTTTTTATGGTAATGAAGTAATTACTACCTAAATACCGACCCGAAATGTATATTATTACATTTCCTTTCGTGATTCATACATATCGATGTTTATAATAATAGTGATAGTCAGTAAAACGCAACTAGTAGGAAAATTATTTTTTTTATTTTGTTCAAAAAAATCACACACTAGTGATATTGTCTTCTGGTCGAGAAATACAAAATTATAAACTTTGTAACGGCAGCGCCATCTAATGACGGGAAGCGTGTGCACTTCCCGTCTATCACAAATTGCGCTACCTCACTAACAAAACATAAATACTCCGTAATCGTACAACAGTGCATTAATTAGAACACGCCGCGTACGCTCTTTAACGTACTAAAACAAAATAAATTACTATAATTTCCTTTAAAAATTTGAGCTAACAACAAAAATGCAATTCAAATGCGTCAAACTTGAATTATGGACAATTTCAAACCGTGCAAAAAAAAAAACCAACATTGATAATTATGTGGCATAAAACCGATCACTATCTCTTCCTCTTCTGAAGCTTCCAGGAATAATCGTCCAGGGATTGGACGTAATTAATTTTTTTTCGGCCCCAGAGCAGCCAACTGAAACCTATGGCAACGCAAATTGCTGTTTCTATGTAGAAACCGTCTAATATGGTGACGCACTTCCCACCTTTGTTCACACATAACTAGAAATCGGGTAATAGATTATTTATGACGGGATGACAAAGCAATAACTTACTTCTTTTTCTAATGAATCCCTACAAGTATTATCTAAACTTTCAGTTCCACCCTCACACTGTTTCCAAGTTAGTGGATCAACAAAATATAGTGCCAACATAGCAGGCCAATTACCCCCTAAATTAGTGACTGTGTTGAGTAGGGTCATGTAAGTACCCCCCACTGAACTATCACTAATCTTGGCAAAGAAGGCCATGATTGACACAAACATGCAATAGACGCACACTTGATGCAACGCATAGCATCCAACCAGGAACATAACATATAGGAAAGGTAAGCCTTGGGAGGCATCAGGGACAAGAATTGGGGTTACCCAGACCATAAAGGCCGCAACAAACCCAAATAATAATCGATACGGGATAGCTTTGACAAAAATATCAAGGGGGCGGGGACCTGTCGTGTACTTTGCTATGACCAAAGGTAGCGCCAATTGTACAGGAATTAAAGGAATGGCCATTAATCCTAAACGCTCCTTGGGGATTCCAGCCTCAACCAGCTTAAGCGTCATTACGCTATCAGTTGAAGAAAATCCAATCTAAAACAACAAAAAATAAATAAATAGAAAGTGTCATTAATTATTCATAACCACATACTTTACAAGTTAGTAGGATTATAACCAAAGTCTGTACAGGCCTTAAGGCAAGAATGTCCTTGAGTGATTTGTAGGCAGTTTGTACATCCCTGTCATGAACAACTTCATGTTCTGAGTCACGTGGTTCAACTTCCTTTTTAAGTAAGGCAACCAGGGTTGTACTGACAACGAATACCCACCCCCAAAAATACAAGAATCCGGGAAGGGTAACAATACCCGTATCTTCAGGCTCACTCCGCATATACATATTACAAAAACTGGCTGACTCCAGCGCCATGAACACCACATAACTCAAGAAAAATCCAGCTGTTTGTCCAACACTGTTGCAAGTCGACGCGTGTCCAACATTACGCTTTTTTAGCATAGTTAAGGCCCACCCATCCACCGCGATGTCCTGAGTGGCAGCCAAAAAATTCAAAGAAAAAAACAGGAATGTCAAAATTTCAATATTTGGTTCGACTCCCTCACTCCCCAACCACTGTTCAACGTGGCCACTCAACAATAACATAAATGCACCTATTAAGTATTGTGTGGGTATTAGCCACGTTTTCCGCCTTCCTACTCGTGATGAAAAAATCGAATCCACTATTGGGGCCCACAGAAGCTTCAAACTAAATGGCCATGTGACAAAACTAAACTCAGCCTGAAATTCCACTATTAGAAAAATCCTTGAAACAAAATCGTTTACCTGTTGCTTGTAGCTGACGCCGCGATTCTGGAGAATCATTGGAATCGCGGAACTGAGCCCCAAAGGAATCCCTTGAAGGGTGTACAAACATAGCAGAAGTGCGATGTTTCTTTTGTCCCCTTTTAAATTAGTAGGAAGGTGAATTTGCGGGGTTTCACCATTTTCCATGAGTAGAGATTCGCTGCTTCGTTTTTTTACTGACCGTCTTTCCATTATTGTACGTAAACACGGAGAATTTTTGTTGTAAGCGAGTGTGTGAGGTTATGTTAAAGCCACGTCACTTAATTACCATATGGAAACTGAATGATTCGTACTTACATTACCCCAGAAACGAAGTTAGGGGCTAAAACAACATTATCTGGGGGTTTTTAACACGAATTAATGTTTAGAAATAATCAAAATCGCGAAAGTTGTCAATATTGTTTACGTTTACTTAAATAATTTTAAACTGTCAGTTGTCACGATGTTTGCGTGTTGCCAACTATAGAATAAGTATTTGTCCACGTTGCCACCTGAAGATTCAACAGTTGCGTGGGTAACGTGTTTGATGTAGGCAACTAACATTACAGCTGAATAAATCAGGCTACCACATTTATTCAGAAAAAATCGTGTATTTTTTTAAATAAATTTATTTCTAAACACTTATTTATCGCTCCAATCACACATTAAAAAATTCATAAAATAATAACAACCACAGCAACATCAAGGAATGTTGATTTAACATATAAACACTTAAAAATATCAATAATTAGATACATTTATCTCCTTAAAAATAACTTTCGTCTCTCAATCTCCTCATAAAAACAGGTTCCATGTCTTCATCTTCCTGGAAATAACTGGGCGTATCCATCTCAACTGAGCGATTAGCACCCCCTTCTTTACACGTTAACCAATACGTATCCATCAGACCTTTACCCTTTACATCCACCAGACCCCTATGTTCAGTCCTGTACCCGCCTATGACGTCCAAAGCTTTCTTCATGTCTAAACTTATATGAATTTTCGAAGCTTCCCCAGTGGACTCCATTCTCGACGCCGTGTTCACTGTGTCCCCAAATAGGCAATATCTAGGCATTTTGGAGCCCACAATCCCAGCGACTACAGGGCCGGTGTGGGCCCCAGAACGTATCCGAAGCCTCTCGGTTTTTCGATGTGGAATCTTGAATTGCGTGGAACCAGCTAAAAGATCTAGAGCCATACTTGCAATTTCACAAACGTGTTTATTTCCTAAAGGGTGCAAAACTACAATAACATTCGAAATCATCATCAGATAATTTTTGTTTTACCGTTAGTCACCGGCAACCCGGAAGCCACCATGTACGAGTCGCCTATGGTTTCCACTTTGTATACGTCATAGCATTCGATGCGAGCGTCGAATAATTTGTAAATTTTGTTCAAAAAAGTGACCACCTGGTAATGAGTTAATTACAGTGGGTATTAAAAGTAACACAAGTGTACCTCTAAAGGTGTGCTCTCTGCTGCGATTTCTGTAAAGCCGACAATATCACTGAAGTATATTGTCACACAGGCGTAGTATTGGGCGGGGACTTGTCGAGTTTGTTTTAGCTGAGTGGCAACGCATGGCGGTAACATTTGAAATAGCAAAGTGTCACTTTTCTTTTTTTCTCGTTTTAGTTCTTTTGCTTTTTTTGCTAAATTGGCTGCATATAACTGAAAATGAATTATTGTGATTGGTGGGTTTTGGGTTATTTGGTAGGTTACCTGTATGGTGGCAACTGCGTTGTGTACCAACCATATAATAATGGGGGATACTGCCAATACTACGACAAGAGTGGCTACTCCCACCACTTCTCGATTCGTTGCTTCATATAAGGCGTCATTCACGTAATCTCTGTAACATTTATCTAAGATAATGTACCTATATTTTTGTTTATTATGGCTATTCGGACCTTATTGTGTAACGTAAGTATCGTTGAAGTTTTCTTAGCTCATCTGTGTATTGGGCAATTGAGTCAAAATAATCCAATGAATCATTACTATTTGGTAGTCTTCTCTCATTTTTTGTTATTATGTCGTTTCTGAAACTTTATTTTCAGATTGTTTTAGGTTTTAAGTTTATACTTACTTTTGTTTTATTTTACCATAACCACGCATAGATGAGGTTAGTTTTTTATATTCATCCTTCATTTTAGGTACGAAATTCAAAGACGAGTTTAAAAGATCTTTAGCAATGGAATCATGCTTAATATAACTGGTATAATTAGCGCTCTTGAGGACTCCTCTCCCAAAGTAATTGACACCATACACACTCGCTATACCCGTACTTTCTATACTCCGTAGTAAGTTTTTGAAAGCCAACAGGTACCTGAAAAAAAAAAACGATTGTCATTTTCATTTCTACATATACTTATGAATATTCCTCTGACCTCCAAACACCGCTATTATCTGTTTCTTTGATCTGATTGGTCAGGTGATCCAACATGGCTGCATTAACAGAAGTATACCACAGTAGAACGTCTGCCATTGTACTTTCTTCTTTACTGAGGACTTTCTGTCTGCCAAAATAGTTTAATTATATTTGTATTTCAAACGGACACAATAAGTACCTAAATTCGACTAGTTTTTTCTGAAACGTGTCTTTATCTAGGAGCATTATTTTACCATCCTCGGTAGGCAAAGATACTAGAGGCCAGCTGCTCATATTTTGTAAAGCTGCATTCGTTAGTTCGAAACGTGTGCTAAGGTTAGACCTGAAAATTTGATTTGGAAGCAGGAAGTAGTAGAAAGTTGCGATTTTTTACCGTGAGTTGCTACCATTAGTGTAGATATGGAACGCTACTTCGGAACGCTCTAGCTGCATACGGGTCACTACTTTACCAAGTTCTTCCGCAATTGTCACCTGAAAAGATGATTATCATATAAAACAATAACAAGAAAAATAAGAGAAAATTTTCGCATACTGAGTATCGAAAAAGCTATGGACAATGAGACAATGGTTATTTTTTTTAATGAATTTGAAAAACGAATTATTTTTGTCTGTGTACATGGTAAAGAGTAAAAGTTCGAAGAACTCGTGTGTTGACAAACAAATTTTGGCTAGCGTTTTGTTATCTACACGAAAATCTAAGAGAATACATGGAAAATTTTAAGTAATCTGTAGTTATTTCTGACGACAGACATACGGAGAGACAGACTAACGGAATTTGTAAACTGGAAATTATATAAATTATTTAATTTATACAATTATGTTTCTTTATTTTGTTTCTTGAATAAAGCACATTTTAATAATAAATTGCTCTATTTTGCACGATTTGGCTTGAATCAAGAGACTTAGAAATATGACTTGGACTGTGCCCGAAAATACATTGTTGCACCAGTAAAAATAACGTTTTCATTTTCATGTTAATATGTATTGTGTTTTCGAAAGACAATTTTTAACGACGATTCAGTTTTTAAACATTGCTAATACCAAAGAAAAACTATTTTTTTCTAGAGAAAATTTTCAACTTTTTAATAAATTTATTATTAATATTTGATATCTAGTAGACCATGGATATTTAAAATCATGCACACCAGGCGTGGATGGGACCATCTGGAAATTGCGAATTCTCCTGTAGCTGTGGTGCAACAGAGCACTGGTGCCCGAATCAAAATTTTATATACTTTTAAATGAGGTAAAATTTCGACTTTCCAGGTGTCGGCCTAAATTTTTCCGCGCTATGAGATTCTTTCAAACTACTTCAAAAATAAGAGAAGGGATCTTTGGATTCTTTCAAACTAGTTCAACAACAAAACACAAGAAGGGATCTTCGAGATTCTTTCAAATTACTTCAAAGACAAGACATCACGGACAGGGGCCGATGGAATCATCACAATAATAGCAAAGCGCGACTTTCCCATCAAACATCAAATTTCAAATTGAACCTGAATATCTGCTATCTGCCCCCAGGTCCAGGAGGAGCCCGTCTTGAAGGAAGTCGCCGTCCAGGAGGGAACGACCGTGCCGGACGACTTATTCTTTTTTTTGTAAAACTGTTTTGTATTTATTTTATTTAAGATTAGCCGTAAGTTTTACTACTTTGGCCGTGTAGCTGGAAGTAGCTGGAAGTAGGGAATAAACCCGATTTATTGTTTAAAATAATCCTTGCCGTTTTATTTTATTATCTTGGTTTCGTGGGCGCTCACCACCTGAGATCCGTGTCTCCGGCTTGGGAGCAACCCCGGCGCCCCTTCCCCCGGAGAGGGAGCTGGCGCCCGGGCGACCGCCGTTTCTGATCGAAGGTCGCCGCATAAGCTTAGGTCGGCCAGACGTGTTTCCTATATCAGCGGAACTAGTCGGTCCAAGGCTTGGCACCCAGGTACGCCGCCACCACACGTTATCGGCGAGATTCCGGATCGTCCGTCCCTCTGGAATTTCGTCGCAATTTCTTGACTCCTATGAAAAAATCTCCCGTTTCCGTTTGTCTGTCTGTCCTCTGTGTGGATTTTTATAGGACATATAATTCTCAAAAGTAATGGACCGATTGTTGTCAAATTTTAAGCAATGTGATAACGCCACCACAAATTTTGTATAGTAAATGTTATTCAAATTTTATAAAATAAAATATTCTTACACTGTGGTTATGAATCCGTTTTGATTTTTAACTCTACATTTTACTTTAACACTACACACATATCTTTATCTTAACTTATAGGGGTTATCATAGAAACTAGATGAAATTCGTAAAATCAAATTTTACAATTTTTCGAAAAAGCTGGATGTGTTGTACTGTACTTCAGGGGAGAGGTTAGTTCTGTCTAAATGACCTCAGACCAATTTTTTTGAGCTGTGCTGAGGTTTCTGGTGAAGGAGAAATTTTTTTCAGAATTATTAGATGTTTTCCGGATCCTGCTGTTCATGAACAAAACTGTTCCTAATGAATAATGATTAATGACCCTTGTTCCAATTTACTACGGTTGACGAATCAGAATAATCTAAATTCTACATTTTTCCTTTGATTTCTTTGTAGCGTGTACTTGATACGTTCACATAACACGGTCTTAGCTTTTACGTCAAAAATGACTTCAATTTTTTTGAAAAAATGTCCACAGTTTGCAATAGATTAAACTGTGAACGGTGAATAAATGTACTCATCGAAAACTTATAAATGTACATTACTGGTATCTAATTATAGGTACGAAGTTAGGCTTACTGTCACTGTATTTTGGCTCTTTTGGCACTAGGAAACTCGGACTGGTAAGCGTTACCTCCGTAAGGGGACGTGATGGGACAGTATGATCCTCGGGTACAGTTACCGCAACGACATACTTTATGGAACAAAGAAGGGAACACACAGCCTCTCTTGCTCTATGTTAACTCCCATCTTCGCGTGGAACCGGGTATTTTGCCCGCCATGGAGTGTGAACGACAGGCCAAAGGGGAACACGCCAGGCTGACCTCATCGTCAGTCCCGCTTTAGTACCCACGGGCCAGGGAGAGCCACTTGAACGGGCCCGGGCCAGGTGTGGAGCATCTCGAGCTCTCACGACGAGTCATTAGTCCGGCCCTTCGAACTGGATGGGCGCTAGGCTCAGAAAGTTTTGAGTAGCCTTACCCGCATGAGAAGCGGGAGGGCGTTAGTAACCTTCAGGGAGAGCTGGAAGTATCGGTTCAAACTGGATCAGTCAACTAAGCCATCTGTCACGGCGAAGCTTACTAAGTTTCGAAGGCAGCACTGGCCAGGTTCACCAGTACCCGTCGAACTGGAACAGACCTTTGGATAGTCCCCATGGGAGACCAGCTCTACACGGAATCTGGTACGTGAAAACGTGAAAAGGTCCGACCCGTGACGGAATGTTTGCGTTCTGGTAAAGCTCTACTTTCGAGTAAAGGAGCTATGCGGGTAGTAAGTTGTTTAGAGTGAGTCGTCAACTCAGCAGTTGGGAAGTGTGGCGGCTACCTCCAAGTTGACTTGCTTTTTTCATTTACTTCCAAAAATTTATTTCGTATCCAATCAAGTCAGCCAACCCCACCTCCAAAGGGACGAAATAGGTAGCTAGCACCGGACGTCAGAATGGGCTGGATGGTGGCCCAGACGATCCACAGCAAGCAAGGTAACGAGACAATGGCGAAGTTTCACAAGTACCGGTCTGATCGAGGAGCCCTCTCGAACTAACAAGCTCTATCGCGGAATGCCGAACCCCGGTGTCGACAAGTATTTGGTGTAGGACTCGAGGGGTTAGTCAAAAGCTTCCTGATGGTGATTTTGCCCTTTGGGGCGCGTCTTAAAGCCTAATTTCCGGAAAGGTGGGAACGGCACGGGCCGCCCTTCCAAGGAACATCATTTTCTTGAGTCTATTTATTTACTTAGTTCTTTCTAATTTTTAATATTATGTGTAGATATTAAGTTAATATGCCGAGGGAGCAACGAAAGCAAGATCAACCATGAATTTTTGAAAGTTTGTCTTTGATCGTTGCATTTTCAACTCAAACGTTCAAATTGATGCTATTCTACAAAATGAAAATTCTCTCAAAGACAATTCTTCAAACATCCAAGGCTCCATTTGATGGTGTTTTAATTGTTCTCTTGGTACTACTAACTGGTAACTACCAAGGGACTATTAATGTTTGTGATTTTTTTCAGGTTGGCAAAATTTTCTAATGGCATACCTTATCGTCAAATTGACATTTATTAGCTGCCATTTTCTCAACATGCTCATGTCAAAAGCGAGAACTGTGAATTGACATTCTAGTACTACTACCAACACAAGAATTTCTTCAATCATTAATAGTCAGTATGTATAGTAGTTCAGGTGAGAGATTGGGATTTCTTGACAGTTGACATGTAAGTTGGCAACAACCTAACACTATAAAATACACTGAAATTCCTACGCTGCCACTCACAACTGGCTGTCACTGTCTCTGTTACAAATGTAAAACTACTGAAAGTTCCATTACTAAGGTTATGTTATGTTCTTCTGTCGGGGGACTGGAAACTAATAATAGAATTTAGAAAAGTCTTATGAAAAAAGTAAAAAAAAACGCTAATCGTATTTCTTTTGTTATACTATTTGCTATAAAATTTATTTCTTATTTCATGCATCTGACCTGACTTGACCTACCGTGACCTGACCTCTTCTAGTTATAACAGTAGTCGAAAATGTCAAAAGTGCCAAAATTAGTTTTATCTTATCAAATATTAGCCCCGCCCACCCACCCTCTGTTGTTTTGGAAGGTATTTGATGTGCCAAAATCACCCTTATCTTAGTAAGTACTAGCCCCCCCCCCCTTCTAATCCTAAGGAGTAATTTTACTTCTATTAAGTATAAGATCATTTATCTGATTCAGATGCGATAAAATCAATCACTGAAAAAGAGGCAGGGTGGGTGGGCGGGGATAGTTATGTTCTTCAGTCGAGTGGGACTGGAAACTAATAATAGAATCTAGAATAGTCTAATGAAAAAAATCTAATCTTTTTTTTGTTATACTATTTGTTATAAAATTTATTTCTTATATGTATCATGCACCTGACCTGACTTGACCTAACGTGATCTGACTTGTTCTTAATTCTCTATTGTCTCAAATAAACAAACAAATTTAAAAAAAAAAGTGAAATACCTATAAAAACCACAAAGTACGTTCTTAAAATAATTGTAATTTGTGAAACAAAAATAAATAAAAATGTCTTTTCTTATCAATAATAATTTTATATCTAGCGAATTTGATGGAATTGTAAAAATTGCTATATTTCAGTTAGCGATTTTGGAAAAACGGTAGGAATTTCCAAAGAAACGAAGCCGAAAATGACTTCTGGATATGGAAATCTACATGAAAATGTCACTAGGTAATTTTAGAAAATAGTTGAAAAATGGTCGAAAATGTCACAAATGCAAAATCAGACTATCTTATCAAATACTAGC